TTTAAAAAAAAAAAAAAAAGGCAGGCAGGGGTGGATTATTTAAAGGACTATATTCCAAAACATTCCTTCCTAACCTTACAATTAATTTTAGGAAGACTGATTCAGCTCTAAAATCAAGTGAAATGGTTTTAAGTGTCTTTTTCTTTTTATGAGAATGTTAAAATAAATCATATTATTTAAAAATCAAACTATTTTTTAAAAAATATTTATTTTTTTAGTTTTTTTTAACAATAGGGGAAAAGTTTAAAGTTGTAGCCTGTGTGGTAAAGCATGAAACTACCTTAGAAACTTAGCAAGGCTCCTAGCAATTTAGTGAGATCCTGTCTCACAAATAAAGGGCAGGGGATGTGGCTCATTGTACCTTGGGTTCAGTCCCTGGTAACAATAACAACAACAAAAAGTTGTATATGTTTGAATAATTAGTACTTCAGACATTCTTATGTGCTTTTTTAGAACAGGTTTGGATTGTCCAAATTGTTCTTCCAGAGTTCTTTTAAATGCTAAGAACAGACAGAATTATTGATAATTAGGTATTAGAACGTATTATCACCAATATATATTTTTTTAGTTTTCATAGAATTTCAAACTTGCAGGAATATTGCAAGAACACTACCAGGGAATAGATGTTTTCAAGACAACATGGTAAGAGTGGTAATCAGTGGGTACCTTGGTATAACTGGGAAGAGGGGGGCCACTTAATCCAAATTAGGGAGCCAGGAAATGCTTCTCTGAGAAGAGTGCATATGTTCTTTGCTTTCAGGTGAAACTCCAAAACCATAATTTCATAATTTTATTGTCTATTTGAGCACTAAGAGAAACTATTGGTTAGTTAAGCTTAAGGCAATAAATGCCTGTCAGCTCACAGCTGCAGATCTCTGATTACCCATTGCACAAGTGTTATCAGAGAGTGCAACTGAATATCCCCAAAGTGTTGGTTTCTCTGAGAAGCTTCGTGAGTCCATTTTTTAAAAACTGAAAATGGGCTGGAGATCCAGCTCAGCGGTAACATATATGTTTAGTAAGTGTAGAGCACTTTGATTCCCCAGTACCACATTGAAAAATAATAATAATAAATAATGTACCTGGTAAAAGTTTTTTCCCTAAGTCCAAAGAGTTATACAACATGTTTTCAGTAAACAGTCTTCCCTTAACTTGACCTTGTTTTTGCTCTCCCATTCCCTTTTCTTAGGGATAGCCATTATTTTGTCCAAAGGTATACCAGATCTTTCTCATTTTTTTTTTCTGTGTAAATGATGCATACTGTTTAATAAGTTGATGTTTTCACTTGACAGCATATCTTGGGGATTACTTTATCAATACATATAGACTTGCCTTATTTATAATGGCTACATGTTATTCTGTCCTATGAATGTGCAGTTTATTCAGCCAGTTCTTTACTAATATGCAGATTTGTTTTCCAGTATTTTGACACTATAAAAAATGTAGTAATGTCTTTGCACATATTTCCGTGAGTTTCATTCATTCATTTATGTGTATATATATATATATTTTAGTTGTGGTTGAACACAATACTTTTATTTCACTTATTTATTTTTATGCAATGCTGAGGATCCAACCCAGGGTCTCACATGGGCAAGGCAAGCACTCTACTACTGAGCTACAACCTCAGCCCCCCCTCGTGTGTGTGTTTCTTTTAAGATTTATTCTTAGGAGTGGAATTGCTGAGTCAAAGAATGTGCAGGCTTTTGAAATTTAGAAAATATAATTTGATCAGCATTTTTATTCCTGTAAAACAGTCTTATAACTAATGATAATGAATGGGATAAAATAGTCATAATTCATTGAAACTATGAGTGCTATGTTTTCTATTGTTACTTGTTTGTTTGTTTGTTTTTAGTTGAAGGTGGACACAATACATTTATTTATTTATTTATTTTTATGTGATGCTGAGGATCGAACCCAGCACCTTGCATGTGCCAAGTGAGTGTTCTACTGCTGAGCTACAACCCCAGCCCTCTATTGTTATTTATTTATTTTTTTGCCATTTTTTTTCAGGTGTTGATGAACCTTTATTTAATTTACTTAGTTATATATGGTACTGAGAATTGAACCCATTGCCTCCATGTACAAGGCAAGCACTCTGCTGCTGAGCTACAACTCCAGCCCCTATTGTTACTTTTTGATAGGAGGAAATGTACTGGATTTTAGAGAAGGTGACACCTGATGGTTGGGGGCACACTAGAATGTTATAGTAGGATTAATCATAATTACTAAAGTATTGCTTGGTTCATTTGGGTTGCTTGTGGCCTCCATCTTTTCCTTAAGGTAGTGAAATGACTGAAACAACATGGTATTACAGTACTGGAGAGCAAAACTGCCTAATATTAACTTAATGTTACCACATGGGTCATAAATTATCATAGGGACTTAAAATTCTATGCAGCATACCAATCATAACTGACGCTTTCTGTTCCCTACCCTAGTTTTATTCTATAGATATGTGAGCAGTGGGGCTTACAGTTTTTTGACTAAAAGCTGCAATGAGAAAATTGGAATCTAGAATCTATATTTTCTCTTGGTATAGTATGTTCTTGAGGTTTCAGAGAAGACCAGACTTCTTGTGTTTTATTGACTCTGTGTGTACTTGGTATAGAAATGATCACTTAGAATCCCATTAATAATTTAGAATAATTTAGAAATTTATTATGAAACATTTCTTCCTTATTATTTTTCATTTTGAGACAGGGTCTCTAAGTTGCTGAGGCTGTCCTCTAAATTGTAATCCTCTTGTGTCAGACTCTGAAGTCACCCCACTATACCTGGCTAAATATAGCTTTTTTTTTTTTGTAGGTGGATACAATATCTTTATTTCATTTTTTAAAATGTGGTACTGAGGATTGATCCAAGTGTCCCATGCGAGTTAGATGAGTGCTCCACCACTGAGCCACAATCCCAGCCTCTAAAGATAACTTTTAAAAGCCTGCTTTGGATAGAAATCTTCCTAAAATGTATTACACATGTCCCTGCCTTTTAAAATAGGCTGTCAACCATTATTACAATGCAATTTAATAATTTCTGGATGTTATTGAATTTGTAAGAATGTTGTCAGACTTGACTGAAGTATAAGGAAGAGCTTTTTCTCATACCAAAAGCTAATTGATGTGCTTTTGAAATTTTTCTGATTCCTTATTGTGCTAGGTTCCCCTTTTCCTATAAGAGTCATAATTTCAGATCTGATTTGTGGTTTCTGATTTATTGTGGTATAAGATAACCTGATAACCTGGCTTATTGAATTACATGTAAAACAAATAAAAAGACTGGGGGTGTCAAGGGGCTGTGCTGATTGGAATCCAAGGGAGTGGTCAGAAGTATACATCCCATTTAGGTGAGGACTGTTGCAACTCACTGAAGGGCATATTTAGTCAGTGTTATTGGGCTCTTTGGCTAGTTTTTAGCCACTTGGTGGTTAAAATCTGACAGGAAAAACAGAGTTGTCTAAGGTTATCTAATACTTGACATCAGTGACTATGGAGGGGAAAAATGATGTTTCTAAATTAGTAGGTGGTGGTATGTTTTGTACCCCAGAAGACAGATGACCTAAAAACTCTCTTCAGTTCTGAATGCTAGAATTCTATAAAATAGGTATAGAATCTGTTGGTTGATAGAAAATCAAGAAAGTGAGGATTGCAATATATGGAGCAAGAGTGGAGAAAGATTACATTTTAGCAATGAAAAATGGCTAAAGGGATAGTTACTGCTGGGATTTAATGGGAGAGATAATCAATACATATCACCTTGTCTTTTCCTTTCTAAACTTGGAAGTAACCAAGAAGTAGATTTTAGAACTGCATTGAAATTTAAAAATCAGCCTTATTGGTGAGGTTGACTAGAGAATGTGTGGTAGATTTGTAGCCAGTTTACTCCAAAAGGATGCTGAGCATGTGGGACACCTCACTACCAGCCCTAGTCTTTCAGGTTGCTTATATAGGACCCAGACAAGGCTGACATCTCACAGACTAGGCCTAGTTCTACTGATACCTCACCTCTCCTTGAGAGCTCAGGAGAAACCATGGATGATTCATTTCTTTCTCAGTTGTCAGAGGGTTGGGAGTGAGACTGGATCATAGCTAACATCTCTCCTTGGGGTAATTAGAGGCTCTCTATTACCAGTGTACCTGTGTAGTGCTTTTTTTGCCCTTCTCTGGAGATTAAACCATGAGCTTACCTTGTTAGGTAGAACAATTATAAATCTGTCCTTAAAAAACTCATAAAACTGGGCTGGGGTTGTAGCTCAGGGGCAGAATGCTTGCCTAGCATGTGTGAGGCACTGGGTTCAATTCTCAGCACCATGTATCAATAAATAAAATAAAGGTCCATTGACAACTAAAATTAAAAAAAAATCTCGTAAAACTGGGGAAGATTATTCTGATTTTAGACATTTGGAGGCAAAGACAGATTGGGTAATTGCCTAGCAGCCTCTCAATTTAAAAGGATTACCTAAATCTGTAAAATAACTTTTGCTTCAATTTGATTTTAAAGTCTTACCAGCAAAAATATGATTAAGACTTTTCTATTTTTGTAAATATTTTTCATACTGAAAGCTGTAATTATTTTCAAGGTGATTTAATTCAGTAGAAGAATGTTCTTTTCTTAAAAAAAGAAAGAGAGAAAAAAAAAGGTTCAATCATACAGAGTAACAAAATGCTGATTCTGAACTTGTTTCATTTTTGCTTATTCTTCTCCCTCCCTTTTTTCCTTTTCAGAATCCTATTCTAAGAACACGGGTACTCAGGTGTCCACCATGGTACTAGGTCCTGAACAGACGATGCCAGATGGTAACTTTGAGCTTTGTGTTGTTATCCAATTTTTATTCAGAATTAGGCTTATGTCAAAACCTAAAATTTGCCATATTTTCCTTGTTATCTGTTCTAACAAACTCCATTCAGGAGTCACATCTAGTGACTTTGGCTATATGAAATGTAGGTTTATAACTACAGAGACCTGCCTCATCTTATTTCCAATTCAGAGTTGAACTACATTTTGTTTCACATTTGATTTCTGTAGCATTCTTGCAAGGATAACACTGTTCCCAGACTTGGCATAATGACCTTTGGAGTGCTTTGGGCATTCATGATATTTTCTAATGTTTTAGATATGTAAGAACAGTAAAATACAGAGTGAGTCCCTCATTCTGTATTTTGTTGGAGCTTCTCAAGTGCTTTAACCAATCCTTTGTAATTCTGAACTTCCCTTTTGGAATTTCCATTCCTTTTCTATAAATATCTTCAGCCAGTTAAGTGATGTGGATGGATCACCTTCCTATATAAACAAAGCTCTTGGTTTTCTAGTTGAAGGTTGTAAGAATTTATTAGAAACATAGAGAATAGAGCTTTGTGGTTCAACATGGTCATATCATGTCTGTGGCAAACTAGACTTTATATATTTCTGGTGGGTTGGCTCTTTTCTCCTGGACTTACCCTCTCTGCACTTAGGATTAATTGTGAAATGCAAGTCTGTAGGAAACACTGATATCAGGCAGAGATGGGCCCTGCTATCTTGAGTGTGCTGGTAACCCGTGACCAGCAGCTCTTCACAGTACGCCTTATTCAGGATGCAAAGTGTTCCTACTCGGTGGTTGCCCACAGCATCAGATTTTACCTTAAACTGTGGCAGGATTTTGTAACTTGTATATTTTTTGAGAAACCTGATAGAGGTGTAATGTCCAAGAATGATTATTTGAGTATGACCTATCAAATAATTGAGTGAGGTAGGTAGATATGTTCCAGTAGATTGACCAACTTTTTTTCTTTTAAATGTTAGGATTTTAGGTTATTAGTGGGGTTTGTCTGGGAATGTTATATTTCAAGTCCTAGATGTCAGTGCTTTTAGGGGAAAATGAAATGATCCTAAAATTACTAAGTAGGAGTATGGAGTAGGAAAACCACTGAGAGATTAGTGTTAAAACTGATCCAGTGCTGAGTGACAGGACGAGCAGGCTGAGGGGGATTGAATAATGTAAGGCTTTTTTGTATTACTTTAGTTTTTTACCATGTGAATGTATTACCTAGTCAAAGAAAAGTTTATTTTAAAATATAGGTAATAATAAACTACAAAAAAATCTATCAAGCTAGATCAGATTAGTCTCTTGTATATTCAGGTATTAAAAATATTTCATTTTAGATGCCAGAGATTTTAAGACCCTGGGTCAGATACAGCATTATAGCACCATCAAAAAGAAAAAGAAAAAGAAAAAAGATTGAATTTCAGTATTACTTAATATGAGTTGTTAGTGTATTTTGCTCATTTTAATTAATTTCTTCTCAAATATGTTAATTCAGACAGTGCTTCTGGAGACCATGGGGACTCTGCCAGTCTTGGTGCCATCAATGCTGCCTATAGTAACTCCTCACTTCCACAGTCTACTGGGCAGTCGGAGGAGCCATTCACCACCTACTTTGATGAGAAGATTGCCATTCCTGAGGAGGAGGTTGGTGACATATTTGAACCAGCATATTATTGTCTGGGGAAAGCTTGTGTGTGAAAGATTTACTAGATGACATATGCTCAAAGGTTCAGGTCTAATTTTTGTAGCCAATCTCTGAAGACTAGATTTTTAAATTAGAATAAATAAATTATTTAGGAATATGAGGGCCTGAAACACAGTTAGTTGCTAAGTGGTACTAGGGAGCTCCCCTGCCCCCACATGTGGCTCTTAATCCTGTTTAGATAGTGCTTGGAACCAAAGCTACTGATTTTATTAGTCTGATTTTAGAATGAGATGCTGATGGAAAGAGCATGGAAGGCGAGGGCTCTCACTTAGACAAATGATCAGCTTGTCAATAAGAGATGGATAAGATGAAGTGAAAGTTGGACCCATTCAATATCTAACCCTTAGGCTTTGTTCTTGTGAAGCTGATATTGATGATTCATGTGTAATTCAATAATAGATAAATTAAATCAGTAGTTTGGAGGTGACACTCAGTTTGAGCTCCTCTCTTCTCTTGTATAGTATTCTTGTTTTAGCTTTCGTAAACTCTGGGCATTCACGGGACCTGGCTTTCTTATGAGTATTGCCTATCTGGATCCAGGAAATATTGAATCCGATTTGCAGTCTGGAGCAGTGGCTGGATTTAAGGTGAACATCTACATCTACCCCTGCCCTTTTAAACAAAAACTATACCCTAAATCCTTTCCTATACCCTGTCTGTGGGCTAGCAGCTTCAAGGGTTACATGCAGATACAGTTGATCCTTGAACCACATGGGTTTGAACTGCATAGATCTATTTGTATGTGGATTCTCTTTTTTGAGATTTTTGACCGTTTGAAAAAACTCAAGAGATGAACTGAATAACTTAGAAATATTGAAGAAAATGTTAGGTATGTCATAAATGCATAAAATAAATGTAGATAAACTATTTTATCTAAACAAAAATAAAAATACCAGATGGGAAATATATACAAATCTGTTATAAAAAATTAAATTTATTTAGAACTTACACAATTCATACATGCTGCTAATTACAGTTGATGGACATGCAAGGAAATATCAGGATGTGATATTAAATTATAACTACATAAAATTAATTATGTACTTCTGCAGTAATTTTGTAGCCACCTACTTTTGCTGTTGTGGTGAACTGAAGTGTTGTGAGTTTCCACCTAACATGCTGTGTGACTGATCATCTTTGATCATTCTTCTCTCTAATAAATTGTGTATTGTAGTAAAAAGTGATTTGTTGAAGTTCTCATGCATTTTTGACCATATATGATCCTTATGCATATATGATCCTTATCCTTTGTATTGACTATTTACTTATCATTGAGGCTTGCAGTCAATAGGAAGTAGTTTAGTTTGGGGAAGTCAAAGGAATGTGGATTTTCATCTATACAGGTGATTGGTGCTCCTACTCCACTAGACCCTGTATTGTTTAAGGGTAAGTTGTTCTTCATTGGTAGTGACACTTACTATAAAAAGTTTTTCCCATCTGGTTTTTTTTTTTTTTTAATTTAATCCATGTAATTTTCTTGAACAAAGGAGAAATTGCAGTGGGAGAAGCAGCTCAGAAAGGAACATGGTACTGAGCAGGTCAAGTTAAGTAACTAATATAGAGCTCAGATTATTTTGATGCTTGACATGGGCTTTTCCAGCATGTAGTGTTTCCCTTTAATATTGCCAAAGCCAAACCAAAACAATAACAACAACAACAATAAAAAAAAAAAAACAACACTCAGTTGTCTGATGAATACTTCTGGATTTTTTTTGTTCTTAGCTGCTCTGGGTCCTTCTGTTGGCCACCATAGTGGGTCTGCTGCTTCAGCGCCTTGCAGCTAGACTGGGAGTGGTAACTGGGCTACATCTTGCTGAAGTGTGTCACCGTCAGTATCCCAAGGTGAGCAGTGTTCTGTGCTATTTGTGTCTCATCCATTTGGTAATCTGTGTATCTGGCAATATGTGTTAACCCCACTGTATACTGAGATATTGGAGGACTTGAACTGGAGTATTAAGGGAACTCCTGCTGCCCCTCTTATTGCCAAGCCATGTTTCCCCCAATCTTCAAAATCTAACATAAAGTTCACTTGCTTCCAGAATGTTAGAAATTCTGCTTGAGCAAACCATTTACTCCACTTTCTGGAATCTAGCAGTGCCCATCCCATGAAGGGGAAGGGTGCTCTCCCCAAGCCCTCCATGTTGCTCCATCAGTTTTCATTATATGATTCTTCTTTGTTGTTTATTTTGCTATTACTTTGAAAGAGGTCAGTTTTTTCCTTTTACTACACAGCATATGTGGTAGGATTTGGGTATTTGTGAAGTATTTTTAAATTTATTGTCACTCCAGGAGTTATACTATTTTTGCAGATTCCTTCAGGTTGTTTTGGGACCTTCTTACTATGTCTAAGGCAGGAATACACTGTGTCTGGAAGACTTTTTTATTTTTCATTGCTGGAGAACAAACCCAGAGCCTTGCATATACTAGTTAAGTTTTCTACTGCTGAACTACATCCCCCAGTGGTCCTGGAAGACATTTTAAATATAGCTTCATCTTTGGATAAGATACTGAGCTATTTTTCATGTGTCCTTGAAGTTTAAGCTCTTTTGATGGCTACAAATATTAAGTACTCTTGCCTGTTTTTCAAAAAACCTTGGGCCAAGTTCAATGATGTATACCTATAATACCAACTACTCAGGGTTGAGGCAGGAGGATTGCAATTTTGAAGCCAGTCTCAGCAAATTAATGAGAACCTGTCTCAAAGTGAAAAATAAATACCTCTGTTTTTAGGCAGAGGGGAGTGAAGGGAGGGGAGGGTATAGAGATAGGAAGGATAGTAAAATGAGTTGGACATTATTATCCTATGTACATTTATGATTACATGACTGGTGTTATTCTACATCATGTACCATGAGAAGAATGAGAGGTTATACTCCATTTATGTATGATGTACTAAAATGCATTCTACTATCATATATTAGAACAAATTTTTAAAAATTAAAAAAAAAAAAAGAATGGCTAGGGATGTAGCTCAGTGGTGAAGAGCCCTGGGTTCAATATCCAGTACAGAAAAAAATAAATAAATAAAACAACCTTGGTAATTTATAATTTCTTCTAGCTTCTCTTTCTTCATATGAAAGTGTTTTTTTATGGTTTCAGTGAGAGAACATTAATTAAATATGTGTTTTCCTACTTTGCTACATGCCACCCAATTCCAACTACTTTATCCTGGTCTTTTTGCTTATCTGTTTTTACTTGCCATGTGTATTATTATTACTTTAGAAATGACACACCCCCACCCCCAGGCTTTTCATATTTGTTTTGTTAACTCCAGCTATGGTCAAAATAGGTGTTTTCTTTTGTAGTCGTTTTCTTTTCTCTCTCGACCCTTATACCATATTGGCATACTATTCTTCCCTAAAGCTTTTTAGAATTATTTTTAGGCAAGAAATATAATGGTAAATAAAATTCCATTCCTATTTTAAATGGGAAGGAAGAAGAAAAAAGTAAATGAGTTGCCATGCTGACCTTGGCAACTTCACATAGTCCATAACCTGGAAGCATATTTTCCTTTTCCTTCTGGGGATCACAGTGCAGTGATACACTGAATAGGACCAGGTTCAGGTGATTCCTCTCCAGTAGAGAGCCTTATAAAGGATCATCTTTGGCAATCCTTTAGACTAGAACTATAGAAAAAGTTCTTAGAAATGAATAATCAGAACCACTTCTTTCATTCTTGGCTGTGTAGGTCCCACGGATCATCCTGTGGCTGATGGTGGAGTTGGCAATCATTGGCTCAGATATGCAAGAAGTCATTGGCTCAGCCATTGCCATCAATCTCCTGTCTGTGGGAAGGTGAGGGGGTTTTCCCTGGAAAGTTAACAGTGTTTTCCTGGATTTCAAAGTAAAGGCAAAAATGAAAACTCAACTCATTTTCAATTTTCAAGATTCAACTGAAGTATTATTACTTTTGTGGAGCCTTTCTGGAACCACCCTCCTCTCCCCCAGCAGTCTTCTGTTCCCATGGTGGGTTATACATACTTCTATTATAGAGTCTGTGGTATTTTGTATTTGATTGTTTATTTGTATGTCATTTTATCCCACAGATAGTGAGCTCGTTGAGGATAAGACCTATACTTTACAGATTCCTGACCAAAAAAATCTGTCTCAGTACATGAGTGAACATGCTTAAGTTAGTGCTCTGCTCCTCAGCTATCCAAGGCCTGGCTCCCTGACACTGTCCCTCCTCCCCTACATCCTAGCTTCTTGTAGGTGTTCCGTATCAGTGGGAGGAAGGTGTTTTTCAATGTTTCTTTCCTTTAATCTCCATTTCTGATCTCTAACCTAGGGTTCCCCTGTGGGGTGGAGTTCTCATCACCATCGCAGATACTTTTGTTTTTCTCTTTTTGGACAAATATGGTAAGGCGAGTGGGAATGAGGGTGGCAATCAAAGGAGCCACTTTCCATTACATGGCTGCTGGGGAAGTGCCTTCTTTGAGCTCACTGCTACATTTCCCCTTTAGGCTTGCGGAAGCTAGAAGCATTTTTTGGCTTTCTCATCACAGTTATGGCCCTCACATTTGGATATGAGGCAAGTGTTACATGCTGGTCATTAGTTTTTTAAAACAGGTTTTGTTTTGTGTTTAGTCTTTCACTGTAAAAGACAGTAACAATGCTAGGATGGCTTAATGGTATTGCATGTTTCAACAAAAAGCCAGTTCAGCCCTGGGCTATTTATTTTGAAGGAATATAATCTATAGTCAAAATCCATGTGCAGGAAGGCCTTCAGAGATTCCTATTCCAAAATGATGAGATGCTATTTTCCAGAATAGGTTCCCTGGTGCCAAACTGGCCATCCTGACAGTAGAACAGCCTTGGAGAGGGTTAGGGAGGGGTTTGCATGGTTATTCTTATTGCTAGCCAAAAGTGGTTCTGTTTTTGTTTATTCAGTTTATATTAATTTCAGCTTAAATTTTCTTTGTATCCAAAGAGTTAATGAATTATAGGTGATACAGTGAATATTTCTTGGTTTATTTTGTGCCCCAATCAGATATTCTTAGAAGTCAGTACCATTATTTGCATTAATAGCACTTTTCTCTGTCTTGTTGTTGCTTACTGGCCTGGCTAAACTTTAAAAACTGTATCTAATCTATGAGTTGATTATGCAGTTTGGCCTAAAGTTTCCAAGAAAAATGCTGAATCTGGGAAAAGGATGTATGAGAAATTTTTATGAATGAGACTTTGACTATACACTGTGCCAGAAATAGGTGATTTTTAAGTTAATATAAGTGAACAGACACATCATAAATGTTGATAATAAAGAATTGAATTTCTAGAGAATCTAGTCTTGAATTCCCTGATTCCCTGGCAGTAAGCCTCATTTGTTGCTTGGTATTTGTGTGTGTGTGGGGGGAGGGGGGTATGTTGGGAATCCAGGGCCTTGCACATCCTAGGTAAGCATGCCGTGCTCATTCACTTCCCCTCTGTTTTTTTGATTGTTTGTTTGTTGTTAATATTTTTTAGTTATAGTTGGAAACAATACCTTTATTTCACTTTTTTATTTGGTGCTGATGATTGAACCCAGGGTCTCGCACATGTGAAGCGAGCGCTCTACCACTGAAACACAACCCCAGCCCCTTGTTTTTGTTTTTAAGGAGATAGGTCTCACTATGTTTCCAAAGCTGGCTTCTAACTTCTGAATTAAACTAATCTTCTTGCCTTAGCCTCCCAAATATCTGGGAACTAAGGCATGTGCCAGTGTTTTTAGCTGTTGCTTAGTTTTTTGAGGATCTGTATCCTTCACTGTTTTAGATGATTATTGTAGAAAGTGTTGCAAGGAGAAAAGGATACCACGAGCTCCCTAGTTCTATGTTATGCTCCTGTGTCATGTTTCATGAAGGCTAATAATTGTTATGTTGATATGTAGTATATTACAGTGAAACCCAGCCAGAGCCAGGTTCTCAAGGGCATGTTCGTGCCATCTTGTTCTGGCTGTAAGACCCCGCAGATTGAACAGGCTGTGGGCATCGTGGGAGCTGTCATTATGCCACACAACATGTACCTACATTCTGCCTTAGTCAAGGTGAGCAAAAGCCCTTTTGTCATTGCCCATCTGGATAGTTAATGAGATCTTTTCCTTTATTATAAGGGACAGAACTTAGCTTGCAATTCCTAGAATCCTGAAGGAGCAAGGCTGGAAGTTTATAAACTGCATGTTCTTGGGCTGTGTTTTTATCAGTAAATTGAAGAGGGATTAGTGACCCCACAGAGAAGCTAGGACTGATGTTCTTAAAGGCCTCAATGTGCATCAAACCTCTTATGTTTAAATCTCCAGGGCTAAATGACCTTGCAGTCAGTAGTAACGGTGCCCAATCATACTTTATCAATTAATCTTATGCAATCTTTTGCTGGATGATTTCAGAGACCTTTATAAGTCAGGTTGTACATTTTTAGGACCGAAATCAGCCTGTTTTTGTAGGTCGGTGGTCCTTCCTGTCACAATATCTGAGAGTCAGTAGTACTTAGTCCCTGGTCCCTATTTGGAAAATGCACAGTGCTCTCCAAGGGAATGGAGTTTTTAATTGCTTAGTGAACTAGGATATAGGTAAGTCTTGGGTCTCCCCCATTTCATCTAGTCAGTTGTTTGCCCTCTGAATCTCTCTGCTGACATTTCAGGACTGATATCCAAAGTCCTGAAATACTCCCAAGAAACTCATTTCCATGTACTCCAAAAATGAATGCTGCTGTTATCTCCCTAGTCTAGACAGGTAAACCGCGCCAATAAGCAGGAAGTCCGAGAAGCCAACAAGTACTTTTTCATTGAATCCTGCATTGCCCTCTTTGTTTCCTTCATCATCAACGTCTTTGTCGTCTCAGTCTTTGCTGAAGCATTTTTTGGGAAAACCAATGAGCAGGTGGTAAGTAAGCCTGGGTCAGGGGTGGTCTTGAGTTTTAGGGCAAAATGCAGGCTGGAATGGGGTTAGGGAAGTACAACATTGACTTAAGAGTCCAGGAAAATGATTCTTTGGCCCCCATGCTATACTCCACAACCCCAGTCACTGTGCACCACTCAGCCTATAGTGGTGGCTGAAGAAGCCTGGACCCATCTGTTCTCACTTCTGTCTGGGAAGGAAGCTGGCCTCAGCTGTCATGTAGGTGGCTTCAGTCTCTTCAGCTCTTTATTATTCCCTTTTGTTTCCTATTAACTTCTGCCTGCTTGCTGGTCAGTCTTGCCATTTGAGATGTCAGCTTGGGAAGAGTTGGCAAACAGGAAACAGAAAGTATGACCAGGATAGGCTTTGTTTTGTCATTTTGAATTCTGTGTCCAGATTTCTGACTGCCTATGTAGTTTTGACTCATTTATTTCCTGCCAGCAAGACCTCTGACTGCTGGCTTTGCTTTGACTAAGGGCTTCCTGTCCTGGGTGTCCTTTCATGTTTGAAGCTTTCTTGAGGGCCTCTCCTCTAGTCCTCATTAAAATGCCCCAGTGTTTATGTATTGCCATATCTGTTCTAACTCAGTAAAGACTTTGATGACATGCTCTTTGCAAGTGTGGAATGTGGAAAAATTGTGGAGGAGGATCCCAAGTAAGAGTGCTGCCTTTTTCTGTCCCCATCACCACCTGTATCCAGGGTTTTTTTTCTCTAGCTGTGTATTATTATTATTATTATTTTATTTAGTTGTAGATGGACCACAATACCTTTGTCTATCTATCCATCTATCTATCTATTTTTTATGGTGCCAAGGATGCTACCCAGTGCCTCACACATGCTAGGCAAGTGCTCTGTCACAGAGCTACAACCCCAGTCTTCTAGCTGCCTCTTGAGAGGGCATGTATGTGATGTATTGGAGAGCTTTTCTCATCTGGTCCTGGCCTGTGAAATAAAAGTTGCTCTTAAACATTTTTGGGTTCTAGGTTGATGTGTGTAAAAATAGCAGCAGTCCCTATGCTGGCCTTTTCCCTGAAGATAATTCAACTCTGGCTGTGGATATCTACAAAGGGGTAAGCCTCTGGAGGTTATGTTTTTTTTTTCTTTGTTTGTGACTCAATCTTCTCAGCATATTTTCTGGTCTTAGTGACTTCACTTCATTTCTGAGCAGGTTTATCTCCCCTGGAGTATCATTTATTTTAAAGGTCCAGATGCCAGATAAACATTTTGGATTACATGGGAGGGAATAGAGGATCAGTTGAAAAGGTGGATTGTATGCTAGCTGTTCCCAAACTCATAGTATAGTACATTCTTTTACAGGATGTTAATGGGGTGACTATAAAAAAATGTAGTCAGGCATGGTAGTACGTGCCTGTAATCCCAGTGGCATGAGAGGCTACGACAGGTGGATTGCAAGGCCAGGCTGGGCAACTTATCGAGACCCTATCTTAAAATAAAACTGGGAATGTTGCTCAATGATTGTGTGCCCTGGGTTTAATCCCCAATACAGTTTTTTAAAAAAGGAATAAAGAAAATGTCCCTTCTAAGGTCTCTCCGTAACCCCCTTTTTTCTTATTTATAGGGGATTTCTGTCCCATTAAGTGGTCCCTTTGTGACCTTCCAAGAGTTGAATATATAGTATACAGCATCTCCCATATTTATTTGACTTGTTCTTGCACTTTTGCCATTTTCTAGAAGAGTGTGTTAAGGAGAACAATTTGGGAAATGTGGTTAGGCTTGTGTTTTTTCAGAATTTAAGATGGTAGATGGAGATCAAGACTTTAGACGCTTAGAGAAGTGAAGAGAGTAGGCTGAGGAATGAAGGACCATCCAGCAACTGTTGAGACTGAAAGCCTCTAGAATCAGATCGAGACCTGAGCCTACTTTTGGGACAGTGCCTAGCATAGTTTCTAGTGTAGGTGATTCTTGGCAAAGAAGAGGGAGAAATGTCACAGAGAAATGGTGTTTGGGGTGTTTTCTATGCAGATGACTGACTCAGGCATATCTTCTCCCTTGCCTGTCCCAGGGTGTTGTGCTGGGATGTTACTTCGGGCCTGCTGCACTCTACATCTGGGCAGTGGGGATCTTGGCTGCTGGACAGAGCTCCACCATGACAGGAACCTATTCTGGTCAGTTTGTCATGGAGGTATGTGCTTCTGTTGAACAGAGGGAGGTGACTAATCCTTAGATATTTCTTGGTCCCTTCTAAAGTCTCTCCGTAACCCCTTTTTCTTCTTCCTGGTCGAGCCTGTTATCCTATTCCTGTGTTTTCTTTCAGGGATTCCTAAACCTAAAATGGTCACGTTTTGCTCGAGTGATTCTGACACGCTCTATTGCTATCATCCCCACTCTGCTTGTTGCTGTCTTCCAAGATGTAGAGCATCTAACAGGGATGAATGACTTCCTGAATGTTCTGCAGAGCTTACAGGTGAGCAGGGTCTGGGGAGACTCATCCCACATAGTCAGATAATATTAAATACTGCCCTAGTGTAGCAAGCCTTGTGTTGGGTTTAGTGGGGAAATGGAGATGAAGAAAGAGGCCTGGGTCTTGTAATGCAGAAAATGTATATGAAATATTGCCATCTAAGTAAGTTTTAGGAATAGTTTTGTTTTTCAGTCCTATTGAGTGGGAATTATGAACTATATACTTAAATATGGAACACAAAATTGTAGTTCATTAATCTAGCAAGCATTAAGTGAACTATGGGACATGGTGGTATGTCAATAAGACATGTATGTTAATAAGACAAGTCAGATGCAGTATTTGTAAAGACACTTAGATCATCATTCATGCTAGGTTAATGACAACTTGGCAGATGTCAACAATTCTTGAAGCATGTCGGGCTGATAGTTATAACTATTTCTCATGAAGTAAGAGAGGCCTGTTTTATTATATTTTCCTTGCACTAACTGTACTGTTCTGTTTTCCAGCTTCCTTTTGCTCTCATACCCATTCTCACATTCACAAGCTTGCGGCCAGTAATGAATGACTTTTCCAATGGAATGTGAGTGTACTCATCCTACTTCTACCATGAGGATGCTGATATATGGGAGAAGGGCATCAATAGTTCACTGAGAAATGAGTTATATAGGGGAACTATATGCTTTGAGAGGTGATTGCTATCTGCTTCCTCTTTGGCTTAGAAAATGGAGAATATAAATATAGTAAAGGCAAGAAAACCCTTTTTTAGTTCAGTTTTGGGGCTTTAACTCTTTAGCTTTAGCCACTGATCTTAGTAAGGCATAAGTTAATGCCTTTTATATATACCTTAAGTGGATATGGGATATTTGAAATGAATTGTTGCATTTCAAAGGACTCTCCTCAGATGGCTCTTTGTATTTCTAAGCCTTGTTACTTTTCTATAGTCTTAAATATTAGGGTTTACTTAATAGTATTTTTTTCTTTCCTTCTTCCTATAATTGTCTGACTTATTTAAGCAAATCTGGGACATAATAAGAACTATTTTTCAGTTCCTTTTTCAGTGACTCTAACTCTTGTCCTGTTTACCCCTCAAAATGCCATTTCCTTTTCTGTCTATGGCCAGACTGAATTTTTCCACCAGTGACTGTGTTGATTCTTTCACAGAGGCTGGAGGATTGCTGGTGGGATCTTGGTCCTTATTGTGTCTTCTATCAACATGTACTTTGTAGTGGTTTATGTCCAGGAACTAGGGCATGTGGTGTTGTATGTCGTGGCGGCTGTGATCAGTGTGGCTTATCTGGGGTTTGTGTTCTACTTGGTAAGTACAGTCTTGATGAGGCAGGGGCATGGGTATCTGGGATGGTAGAAGACGGCTACCTGACATTCAGAAATGAATAGACTCTAAAGAGCAAAAGGCACTCTGCCTCCTGGTCATTGAGGTAGTTTAATAATCAGCTATTTATATTTCTAATCATTTTATTTACTTTGGTTCCTAAGGGCTAGCATTATTCTAACGCTTGTTTATAGTTTCTTAATTTTTAAAAAGAAGGTGTAGTAATGTTTGAGAAAATTAAAAAAAGGTAACAGTATATAGAGTGGAGAGTAGTAGAAGATGGAATTGAAGGAGACTGATCAGTGAGATTTAGAGCACTGGGGTGGGATACAGATAGGCTCATGGCTTGGCACCGCTCTACTACTTACTGTTTAAGGAAGTAAGTAAATAGTGTTTTCCCTTTGAATTATTCTGGAGTTATCTGGAAAATCCTGGTTATAAAACTATAGCAACAATGCAAAAAGAATGCAAAATTATTTGTACCCAAATTATCCAAAATTTTTTTTAAAGTCTGGAGTAAATTCTGTAAAAGTGATAATTGTAGTTGTCTTGGGAACATGGAATTATGTATTCTGTTTTCTTGATCTTTAACATTGCTAATATTAGTGAAAATTGCTAAAGTTATAGCAATAACAAAAAATCTACCTCCCTACTTTAAATAGATGTCTCTGGAAAACACGAGAGTTGGGAATAAGAAGCAGCAGGATTTTTGCCATTTCTGCTACAGAAATGGTTAAAAATGGAGGCTGGAGATGTGCTATTGATCTCTAGAACATTAACCTATTCCTCATGCCAGTGTTTGCCACAGGTTAGGTATCTGATTGAAAAAACAACATTAGTGAATATTGGAAAAGTGTGTCTTAGATTGGAATATCCATTCTCTTTCCTTTCCAAATAAACCTCAATCAAACAAGGGTTATTGTGACCCTAGGATCTAGGAAATCTAAGTAATTGAATATATCCTTGACTGCAGTTGCTTTGAAAATTTTCTTATTAGTCAGGAGAATCCTTCCTTCATATAAATTGTGTATGAAGCTGCTGAGTTGTCCTTAGCGTGATACTGCTAGTGTGATTGTTGAAGTTCCATTTTCCAAGGTGAAGATTTCTGCTGTTTATCTCCCAAATAGAACTTCATGGAGAAGCTCAGAAGACTATGCCATTGTCTTTGTCAGTTATTCTTCCCATTCCTTATGATGGGGAGTTGCAGGAGATTGAAACAAAGTGGTCATCAGGGTTAGAGAAATAAGCCACAGACAGAGCAGCAGGAACAGAGAGAACTCAGTATTTAAATAGCAGGACAAACTTGTTGAGGAAGGCAGATTCCAGGAAGTTTTGAAGGGGGCATGAGGTTGGGAGAGTTAGTTGGGCAACCTTAGTTGTAGAAATCCCCAAGGTGGACAAAGTTAGATGTTTAAGGAAGGGATCAGTTGCATTTGAGCAGAACCTTATGAGCAGTCATGCTGGGTGAGAGGGTTTTTCACAGAGCCTGGTGAATGATGATTGTGTTTTATCTTCTAGGGTTGGCAATGTTTGATTGCACTGGGCATGTCCTTCCTGGACTGTGGTCACACGGTAAGCATCTCTAAAGTCCTGATGACTGAAGAAGCCACCAGTGACTATACTAAGTAAACACTGGATCAGTCTGTCTGTCTTCCGCAGGTAGCCATCAGAGCCAGTGTGTTTCTATGGTTTACTGTGTGAACATAGCCATAAGTATGTGCTGTTGCACAGACTCAAATTCTGGTTGGAAAAGCCTTTGTTTCATGTTCATTTGAAAGATGAAGGGTTTTTTTGTTTGTTTGTTTGTTTGTTAATGTTGTTTGTTTGTTTCCCTTTCTGACAACTTACCTGAGATCTAAGAACTGGATTAGGTAGCATCTTTGAAAAGTTAATATTTGCTGCTGTCATTCCAACACTAAATTCTTAAGTAGCTACCCAAGAGCCAGTTTATTTTAGCCTTTTGAAGGAAAATTCTCATGCATGATTCTAAACCAGCTTTTATGTTTTTTAAAAAGTTAGAAATATAGTAGAATTTTTCATAATACAAAGTGCAGATGTGGTAGTTTTGTAAGTTTTGTTTGTCAGAAGATAATGGATTTGAGAGGCTGAGAAATACTTTTATGCATATTCTTTCAATTATTTTAATTATAAAAATCTCAACTAGTGATTTCATCCATATAACATATAAAATCAAGATAGCTCTGCCTCTATCAGGTTCAGGATTCTTTTAACTTTCTTCCACTTTAAGTTTCTCAGCAGAAGTTAAGTGGGGTGGGAATGCATAATAAAGGTAAAAAATGAACAAACAGCAAAACCCACCTGTACCTGGTGGTTACTAATCACGTCTGAAGGTTTTTCTCAGAGATTGAAAGGTTACCAGGATTTTTGTGGGAGTCTGAGGTTAATAACACCTCTTACCACAGAACTTTCCTGACGTTTACTCTTGAGTACATGTAGTTATAAAAACGTCACCCTCCTCCTTTAAGAGGGGGGTGATAGAAAAAGATAGCAGCATTTATAAACTGACTTTCTCATGAGACTTTGGGGGTGGGGAGAGAAGACTCAGAAGGGAAAGAAGAACCATCTGCTTTATTCCTGAAAGACACCTCTTGCCCAAATCATGTTTCTCTGATGCAACACTCAGCTGCATGTTCAAGATGTCTTGCAAAGCAGTCTCAGGAGCTATATGGACCTAACCATTACAAAGCATGCTGTGTCAGCAAGTCAGTAGTTGTTGCTGTGGTTCCAAGTTCCCTCAGCAAGGTGGCACCAGGCTACCTCTCTTCAGCAGTTCCCTCAGAGGGAAAACAGACCACATGGCGGAGCTCTGGAGTTAGAGGAAATGGGTGTCTTCAGCATGGAGCTGCTGCTCTTTCAGCCACTTCTGACATTTTTACTTGTGGAGCCTGAGGCTGTGTGATTCTGTCAAATCAAATCACATTTGTCTGTTGGAGATCAATAAGCAAAAGTGTTCCGAGGCCATAATCTGGTGAGAACGGTAATGGGAATGACATGGAAGGACTTCTCATTTTTGGAGCTTTCCTTCTGGAGTCCCGGTTGATTGACGTTCTCTGTTCATCTGAGTCTGCAAAAGATTATTACTGACATTTTGCACATAGTCAAAAGCACAGACAGTCTTTTATGAGGCATTAAGTGTAAAGTACTGTGTTTCACTGACTATCATTTTTCTTTGCCCCTGCGGTAATGCAGTAAAGAATCACAGATAACCGTTCCACTAACTGTTCCCCCTCATACCTGCCCTCTCCCCCTACTACCATCATTCTCCAAACTGGTCCTGAAGTTATTCTGACAATATCAAGATCTGACATGTTAAGTTATTATTTGGCTGCAATAGGAAAAATCCAAAATGATATATATATAAATCCTTGTAAAGGTTGTATAGTAACATTTGCCTTTGTCCTAGGCCTGGCGGGTCCAGCCAGTCTTAAATTTACAAACATTTAGGAATCCAGGCAAAAGCTAATATTTCTGACTTATAATGATTGAATGTATCTTCCCAGTTAAATTGTATTTTATAGTGCTATGATTGTACTGTTTACAGCATCAGAAACAGTATCTTAATTCATTCTGTCCTCGCAGAGAGAAGGTATACTTCAACCAGTACTTTGAGTGTTAAAACCAATATGTAGAAATTTAAGTCCTCCAATGCCAGCATGTGCATTTTTATTTTTGGCAGTATGTTTTTGTGGAATGTTTAAGGATATACAATTGTATTTTTTCAAAGTGGTTCTTATTGTCCTTAAATGTGACTTAAATGTCCATAAATGAAATAATTGTACTGCTACAATATGCTGGAAATTAATAGGCATGGTGAAAAAATTTAAATTTGTCTCCTGTGAGGTTCTAGGAGCTAGTGATGTTAGAAGTGGTTAAAACCAAACTTTTAGTACCCATTTAACAATATGTGAACTTGATTTGTAATTAAAATTTTTTTTCCTTTTCCAATTTGGTTTCCTGGTTATTGTTTGCTTTTTTTTTAATCTTGAAATATTTTATTAATGGTGTCTCAACAACTTTGATATAGAAATACTGAAATATTAGTTACCATCTGGAATGACACACTAAACCCATACAACTTAGTGCTTCTCTCTTTGAAGGGATAGAGACATTAAATGGATTTAGTCACCAAAAGGTTGGGTTTAGAGCTGGGCACAGTAACACATATCGTTAATCCCAGTAACTCAAGAGGTTTCAACAGTAGAACTACAAGTTTGAGGCCAGCCTTGGCAATTTAGCAAGACATTGTCTCAAAATAAAAATATAAAAGGGCTATGGATGTAATTCAGTGGTAGAGCACAGCTGGGTTCAATCTGCATTACTGAAGGAAAAAAAAAAAAAGATGACTGGCTAGTTTTCACCAAGACACTAATTTCTGTTTACACATCTAGGATTACAAATTTGGGCTTGTAGATTGTTTGGCTATACCTAAAAGTCACACCTTTACCATTTTTAAACTTGAAGTTTAATCCTACCTTTCTGTATTATAAGGTAAATACTTGTCTCTTTTTAGTCTTGTTTCGCCATTTAAGTAGTTTTACATTCTGTAATTGCTGCCACCAAAAATTAGTATGAGGAAAGAAACCAAAATTAGATTAGAAACAAATGAGAAGGCTGGGGATGTGACTTAGTGATGAAGTGCCTACTCGCATGCAAGAGGTCCTGGGTTTGATCCCCAACATCACTCACACACACACACACACACACACACACACACACACACACACACACACACTAAAAACTGGATTGTCAAGTCAAACATGATAGTGCATGTGTGTAATTCTAGCTACTGAGGAGTCTAAAACAGGAGGATTGCAAGTTTGAGGTAACAAGTTTGAGGATTATAAGTTTGGGCAACTTAGTGAGACCTTATCTCAAAATGAAAAATTTAAAAAGGGTTCAGAGTAGGGCTGGGGTTGTGGCTCAGTGGTCGAGTGCTTGCCTAGCACGTGCAAGGCCCTGGGTTCTATCCTCAACACCACGTAAAAATAAAATAAAGATAAATATTAAAAAAAAAAAAAAAGGCTCAGAGCATAGCTCTGTGGTAGAATGCCCCTGGGTTCTAATCCTCAGTACCGTGTAAACATGGACATTTTGGCAGCTCTGACATATATGGAAATATTGGCACCCTTTGTTAAAAACAAAGGCAAAGCTCTGGCATAACAAACTTCTGGCTCTGTCCCCAGACATATGATGGGAAAATCTAAGTCAGCACTTGATTTATCCCAAGAGTGTCATTAGAACTTCATTTTTCCTTTGTATTTAAAGCTTTCCCTGCCTTCTTATAGGAGTTGAATACCCTAAGTAATCCTGTAGAATTTCTTCATATTGGTGTCCTTCACTTAGTTTTCTGTTCTTAATTTTGGTTTATTCAGAACTAATAGGATACAAAACAATTTGAAGACCCCAGTTTGAGATATTTCCTCTAACTCTGCCCTTCAGAATACTTTTGCATCTTCATTGTTAAGACAAATGAATCTAAGCATATTAGTCTTGCCCAGCACTTTAGCATATGAATTGAATGTAAGAATGGCTAAATTATTACCATGTGCTAGTTCTGGTTTGAGCATTTGCGTTGTCTCATTCAAACCTTATAACAAAGAGGATTAACTTCTATATAAATGAGGCAAATGAAAAGCCAAAAGTAACTCACCTGTATGACATTGCTAATAAATGGGCAGTGGGCAGTTTCTCTTTTAATGTCAGAGCCCACATGTTCATCTCAAACCATCTTGTATTACAGTGTACTATTCACACTGGATTAAGACACCAAGTTTTGTTTAGCAACACCAACTCATCAAATCATTTGCTTGATACTCTGATTAATGCTTGAATATGATTTAGATCAGAAGTTGCCAACTGGTAGACTTTGGCTGTGTTAATTTTTTTAGAATTTTTTTTTTTTTTAGTTGTAGATAGACACAATACCTTTATTTATTTTTATGTGGTGCTGAGGATTGAAACCAGTGCCTCATGCATGCTAGGCAAGCACACTACCTCTGAGCCCCAGCCCCAGTCCCTGTGTTAAATTTTAAGAAGTAAGTTTGAATGCTTTGGGCAGGCTTAGAAAATGGTCAGGGCCTTTTGTGGTCTTAAACTGATAATAGCTAAGACTAATAATAGGTTGACTCATTCACGTTATCTGTCACCATTTTAGCCTATTCTTGTGCCACTGAGCCCCATTTCTCAATGTCTCATAACCACTAAGTCATCTAAGAGATAACTCTGTATGGTGTCATTGAACTATAAATGCAGCCCTTGCTTACTGCATTTTGAGGAAGCCCACTGTCTTTGGGAAAGGCTTCGATGAATTGTCAGTGTGTCTTGACAATTGCTGTTAGTAAGTGAAACTTATGATATAAAGCACTAAAGTGAAGAAGCAAGCTGGTCTGAAGAACTGTTTTCCTGCCCTAAGGCCAGGGTCATCCAGCATCTTCCTAGCCCACTAGTTGAGAATGGCTCAGTGCTTGGCACCATCTGGTGTATGTCATCTTTTCACCTTCATTGTGATGACTCCTGTGAGGTTATACAGGGCAATTAGTAATGTGAAATTTGTGTATATTTATTAAAATAGAGTAGTATGAGAAAGGATATTAGTGTACTTGTCATTTTCCAATGTAACACTTATTTCCATTCTACCAATCAGTAGAATAAGGCTCCAGAAGGATACATTACATGACTAGCATCATAGGAAGAGATGGAGTTTGGGCTTGATGCCAACTCCAGGGCCTTTTCCTCTATCCTGTAAAAGCAATAATTCTTTCTATTTATAGTCTGCATTCTGCATTTAACTTACAGGCTGTTGGTCCAGGGCAGTGACGTTCCTGAAGTCCTGAGTAATAACCGAAGGCTAAAATGAGACTCAGTGACTGTCTCAAGTTATATTCAGGGGAAAGAAAAAGAGTGAAGAAAAACTATAACTTCCCAGATTTCAAGACAAATCATCTGGATTCAGTTCTGTACTAGTGGGGTGTGGAAATGTTTAGAAGCAGCTGAGGTGAAAGCTGGTCATGGGGGCACACACCTGCCTCAAAATTTTGTTTTTAAAATATTTTTTTTTTAGTTGCAAATGGACACAATACTTTATTTATTTGGTTTTATTTTTATATGGTGCCAGGAATCCAATGGACACAATACTTTATTTATTTGGTTTTATTTTTATATGGTGCCAGGAATCGAACCCAGTGCCTCATACATGCTAGGCAAGTGCTCTACCACCGAGCCACAACCCCCAACCCCTGTCTCAAAATTTTAAAAATTAAAAAATAAAAAGGCCTTGGGAGAGTGGGAGAGTGGCAGAGTGCCCTTGGGTTTAACCCCTGTTACTGGGAAGAAAAAAAAAGCAGCTGAGATGACTCTTATTCAGTTTGGCAAAGATTTGAGACCCATAGGTTATCTTGTCTGTCTTTACATTATCTTTTTGTTTTTAAGTAAAAGGCTTTTCTCTGTTTGGGTGTCAAAGGATAATGGGGTCAGGATTACAATGCTCAGGAGTTAGACAGTTTGAAATCTGATTTCCAATACATACAGAATGAAAATACAAAACAGTGCATGTTTGCTCTCATCCTAGTCTGAAGTCCTAACATGGGGCAATGTGCCTCTTTTACTGAGGACATTGGCACTATCTTTATCCTTACCTATCTCAGCAGCTCTGTCATTTTAAATATCAGAAATCATGTGTTAGCTATGTCTTTTCCGAAAGAAAAACAGCAGTACTAAAAAAGGTTTAAATTAATATGCTGACTATAGGTACTTAAATACCCATTTCAGTATTTAATTACTTGAAAATCAGTCTAATTCTCTTTCACCTTTTTGTCCTTAGTACCACCTGGGATTGACAGCTCAGCCTGAACTCTACCTTCTGAACACCGTGGATGCTGACTCACTTATGTCAAGATGACTAACAGCCTGAGAGACTGTATAAGAACCATTTTCTCTAAGCCCTATTGTGCCAGCTGTCTTAACATACCTCTGTTAGTTTGGAGGTGAGTTTTGTTCATTTGAACAAAGGCAAAGATTTCCTCATGGGAATGGGATTAAAAACTGACAACTATAAATTTAGGTCATCGACCCACCCACCTCACAACAAACAATAGCCAGAGTTAAATGATTACCTGTGCTGGCCACATACCCCTATGGGGTGTGTCTTGACTTTTGGGATTTAAAAAATATATATCTATATATATTTATGTAAACCTGAACATCAGTTTGGGTAAGATTTTAATGTTATATAAAACTAATGGATATTTTGTATTTTTTTTTAAAAAAAAACATTCTTCAAGTAAATTACATCTTTGGATCACAAGTGAGAAGGGAAAGGAAATGTTCTTTTTCTCACAATGAACTGATCCAATTGACTGTCTTATAAAGTGATACTTTACTATGCCAGTTACATTTTACTTTGATTGTAATCAGCCACATTACATACTTGGTATCTACTAATATTAACCATCATTTCTAAAGAAATCATTTCTTCTGTTTGGTGATCTTATTTAACCCTGGTTACCTGCATACTTTGTAATTAGTATTGTCTTTGTTATCATTTTTCTTTAAATTTTTTATAGTTATTAAACCAGAGATACAATGTTATTTGTCAACCTGCTTAATATGTAGTAACAAATTTAGAAACCATATTTTAAGTGATAATCAATTGTTTTCCTACACTGTAGTGTAACTCAGCCTATTCTAGCATTTGAGTTTTAGATAGAAAAAGAAGAAACATAGCATTTCATTCTTCTAAGTCCTGACACAACACAATCAAAGAATTAATATTCTTTCTAATATTTGTATAATTCTACAATGTCTTTTCTTTCCACTTTTCCCATTAATACTCCAAATACCATTTCTAGGTCCAAAGTCTGTTTCTAGGAGTAGCTAATATTTATTTTGTTGAATGTCCTAGGGAATGCTAAGCATTTCATTATAAGATATTTGTACCAAGAAGTATGAGATTACTACTAGACTGGGATTTGGAAAATTAGTCTACATTATCACAAACTGCCTGTTGACATGTAGTTAGTAAATTTTTTTGATCCCTGATACTATTAATTTTCTTTCTTAAAATATTTATAATGAAAAAGTTCTTTGATTTAAATTTGGGCTAGGGATATAGCTCATTGGTAGAGTGCTTGTCTAGCATGCACAAAGCCCTGGGTTTGATTCTATCCAGCATGCTTACATGCATACATATATAAATAAAAGTTTTATAATTATCTGATTGGAGAGTCAGAAGAAATGCCACACTGGACCCACATTCCTGCATGGAAGTGCACTTGGCTAGAACTGAATGGCAGCTATCTTTTTTCCAATGCCATATACCCCAGGGTGGCATATACCCCAGATATCACTCATTATTTCCATCTGATTTCCAAGGTTGAATTTGCAAACCCTGCAGCCTTTGTGTGACTTTGAACTTTACTTTCCTCTTCAGCATTAAAGTGAAATGTCTGACCTCTCTGCCTTATTTTAAAACTTATTACCTGCTGGGCTTGATGGTGCTACTCAGGAGGCTAAGGCAAGAATATTGTAAGTTTGAGGGCAGCATCTTAGGAAAACTCTCTGTCTCAAATTGAGGATGCAGCTTGGTAATAGAGTGCCCCTGGGTTTAATTCCAAGTACCACAACAGATCAAAACAAAAGCATAAAAACTTATTACCTTTTTTGGTTTTTCTTTTTCTTTCTTTTTTAATCCATACATCGCCTACCTACATTATAATGATTTGACCTTCTAAGCATCAGAGAGTTTTCTTAAATGACTCTTTAAAATTCCCTCATTTCTACTTCAGGGGCTCTTGAGAGTTCAGAAAAGAGCAGCAACACTACAGCCTAGGTTAGTGTCCTTCAGATCTTAAAATTGAGAGTGAATTAACATGAATTACAAGTTCTCACTTGAAAATTTGAAGTTTCAGTGTTTTTATACTGAAAAACTTATCTGTGTTTCATACAGATAGGAACTCTAGATGAACATCCTGATTTTAACTCATAGAAAGGTGAGGTGGTTGGTTAAACTGAGGTTAAATACTCTGGGGAGTTCTGTAGCTCTTTTTTTTTTTTTTTTTTTTTTTAGTACTGGGGATTGAACCCAGGGGCTCTCAACCACTGAACCACATCCCAGACCTTAAATATTTTATTTAGAGTTTAGAGACAGGGCCTCACTAAATTGCTTAGGGCCTTACTAAGTTGCTGAGGCTGGCTTTGAACTCACGATCCTCCTGCCTCAGCCTCCTGAGCTACTGAGATTACAGGCATGAGCCACTGTGCCTGGCTTTTGTAACTCTTCTCCATCCTTTAACTGTATGTTACTAGAACAGAGTTGAGTATGTAAAACTTTGTAAATATTTACCCAGAGGTGTCATAGCTCCCATAATCAGAAAATTTGATAACAAAGTAAACCAAATCACACTAAAACCAATAGAGGAGATTGATACCTAAAGAGTGAGTCTTGGGTAAGCTTTTTGGCAATTAAGAACATTTAATCATTCTTTAATTTATGATTTACAACTTTAAATTTCTACAGATAGTGTGCTTATCCAGTGTATTAGTCTGCTTTCTGTTAGTTTAAGAAAATACATAAGGTTGGATACTTTATAAAGAAAAGAAGTTTATTTAGCACTTAGTTCTGGAGATTCAAAAGCAGGATGCTGTCATTGGCTCAACTTTGATGAGGACCCTCTTTACTATGTCATGTGGTGTATCGTGGTGAGAGCATGTATGATACGGAGAGCTCCCATAGGTTGACAAAAAGCCAGACAGAGCAATTTAAGAGTCAAGCTCCCTCTTTTATAATAGTCTGCTCTCATGAGAACTAACTCAGTCTCATGAGATCTCCATTTATCACCTCCAAATACAGTGTCCCTGGTAATGTAATCAATTCCCAGGCCCCACCTCTTAAAAGTCCCACCACCTGCTGCATGTAATCCCAGCAACTCAGGAGGCTGAGACAGGAGTATCACAAGTTCAAGGCCAGTCATGGCAAGTTTAAATAAATAAGAAGGGCTGGGAATATAGCTCAGAGATCGAGTGCCCCTGGGTTTAATCCATAGTACCTCAAAAAGAGAACAAGATAAAGCCTAGTACTTTAAAAAATAAAAAATGTCCCACCACCCTTAAATATTACCACACTAGGGACCAAATTTCCAACACATTGAACCTTTGGGGGGACATACTCAAGCCCTATTCAAACCACAACATCCAGATATTAATATATACAATTTAAAGTATAACAGATGAATGTCAGGAAAAGACCAATTAAGTAATTGTTACTGAGCAGCTATTTCTACATAACTGTCACCCTGATATAAAAGTCAAGCATATAATTCCAGTGACTTGGGAGGCTGAGGTAAGAGGAATGAAAGTTTGAGGTCAGCCTGGCAACTTAGATCTTGTCTCAAAATAAATGAAAAGAGCTGGGGATGTAGTTTTGTGGTAGAGTGCCATTTACCTAGCATGCATGAGGCCCTGGGCTCAGTCCATAGCACTACACACATGCACACTTTAAATGTCTTGCTAAGCATAACCAGGCTTAGGAAGTAGTTCAGTAGTAAGGCATCAGGGTTCCAGTAGCCAGCAAAAGTAGTGCTCTCTCTTTTTTGCAAATTCAAACATATAGGATTTGTTTATAGGGTCTTCCTGATATGACTCTCTCCTTTACCCAAGATATAGTGGGTAAATGAACATCCTGTGTTCTTTCTAACTTTTCTCTTTTATCCTGTGTAGGTGTTCACATGCATAGCTACTGTGTGTGTGTGTGTGTGTGTGTGTGCGTGTGTGTTTGTGTGTGTGTCTGTCTGTCTGTCTCTGTCTGTCTGTTTGGTACTAGGGATTGAATCCAGGGACACTCTATCACTGAGCTACATCCCCGGCTCTTTTTAAATTTTTTACTTTAAGACAGGGTTTTGCTAAATTGCCCAGGCTGGCCTTGAACTTGGATCCTCTTACCTCCGCCTCCCAAGTAACTGGGATTACAGGTGTGCAATACTGCACCTGGCAACATGGCTACTTAGCACTGCTTTTTTAAAGCAACAAATATATTCCTTTTCTTGTCTGAAAATTAGGGAAGCTTTTGGGTTTTGTAAGAAAGGCCAATTTCTAATAAAGCACAGTTATTCTGTTCTAAATGCTGAATGTATACCAAGAGGGTATATTCTTTCTAGTGGCCTGATTAAAAATATATTTTCAGGCCTGGGACTGTGGTTGTGGTTCAGTGATAGAGCACTTGTCTAGCATATATATATATCAATAAAGTGACTATGACTCTTGATCTGGAAATCAACTTATTAAAGCTTTGGAAATAATATACAAAGGTTATGAGAATTCTTTCTGATGTTTCTGCAGTTTCATTTTTCATAATAGTTTTTCAAAGAAAATTCATTCTTCATAATAAAAGTTTTCCAAAGCCTCTTGTCTTTCTTGCTTCCATCAGATAGCTTCATTTTTTGGATGCATTGAAGAATCGTGGTTTAATGTAATCCTTATACATAGAATAGAGAACACCTAGAAACAAAGACGTACATCAATAGAGAATCCATGGAAAACAATTGCTGAACTTCTCCCACTTATATTTTTCTGAAATTAGCCCTAGAATATGAAAATAATTCATTTACTAATATTTTTGGCTCCCTTAAAAAGTCCTTTAAGATCAGTATCAGTCTGAAGTTATGCTGTTTCTATATCACCCTAAAGTTTTTTAAAAATATATTGGTGGGATGCTCGGAAAGAAGGCAAATTTTACCAGCTATTAAGAAAAGGAAACATAGGCCTCTCAATTTAGCAACCACTTATTCAGTGTCTACTTGTGCTTAGTATCCTAAGAAAAATAAAGGTAAATGGCTCTGATCCCTGACCCTGGGGATTTACAATCTAATTGGGTGAGTTAGCTTTTAGGCAGATGATATGGTCTTGGGGCCATGCTAAAGGAGGGAAGCAGCTGGGGTTTCTTTGGAAGACGAAAGGTGTTTCTATGAATTCCTGGATCTCAGCAAATGCTTATCCACAAAAGCAAGTTAGGGGGTCACTAATTTATACTAACTATCTGGTTGTCTGAATCCTTCATGTTTCTTCTGATTTCTTTCTGAGACTGCTTGTTAAAATCTTCATAGAGTACACAGAGGATAAAAGGTCAATACGTTGTTCTGGAATCTCCACATGATAGTGTATTGAGGTATAAGTCTGCATAATTTTGTAATGAAACACTACTAGAATTGGTGGATACAAGTCTAGCCCAAAGATGTTTAATTTGAGCAGGACATGGTGGCATATACCTGTATAATCAGTGATTTGGGAGGTTGTGGCAGGAGTATCCCAAGTTTGAGGCCAGTCTCAGCAATTTAGGAAGACCCTTAGCCACTTAGTGAGACTCTGAAAAAATAAAAAGGACTGGAGTTGTAGCTCAGTGGTAAAGACCCCTGGGTTCAACTAAAAAAAAAAGGGGAGAAAAAAAAAAGGACTTCATAAGATATGGAATCAATAAGATATGGACTCAATTTACATGTGAGTGTAAACAACTTTTTTCTATAAGCCTCAGTATCTTTATGTGTAAAATGGGTGTGATAGTCTATCCCTATCCCAGAAGATAGGTTTGGTATATTATGGTATAATAAAGACTTTGTCCTGGTTTCATTGTATGGGACTCTAAAATGCTTGGATTTTGCAAGTAATGGAGTGTCTATTATTATTGAGCCTTTTAGATCATACCAAAGCTTATGGAAATGAGAGTGTGGTGGACATCTGAATAAGGGCAGTCTTGTCGGGGACTTCAACCTCAGGGATCTGATGGTCTCCAGGTGGTAGTTTTCATTATTGAATCGTATTTCAGTATACAAGGTGGTGTATAAATAGGCATTTATTAAGATTACATGAGGTGATAATACATAACAGAGTGGCTAGCACACCAAAAGTATTCATTAAATGTTAGCTTTTATTCCTTTGCCTAATAAACACCTTCCACCAGATCTGCCCTTTATTCTTCATTCTCTATATTAGTGAAAGGCTAACCTCCCATCAGAACAAACCAGAAACCTGGGAATCATCTTTGATTTCTCTTATTTTTTCTGATCTCGTGGTTTCCAAGTCCTCTCTATCCCAGGAATCCATTGTTTCTCTTTTTCCACTGTCACTGTCTTAATTCAGGTCTAAGTCATAGTCTAGTTGGTTTCTCTGTTTTTATTTTTTTCTTCTGCTTTGCAAATCAATCTAGGCATTTTGTTTTTCCTTTTAACATTTTTTCATGGTGAAATATAATATACCTGGAATATATAGCACATAAAACCGAAATGCCCTCATTAGTAAATACTAGTAGACACTGAAATTGGCAGGAGTCAAGAGAGATAATTTTGCAGGCATCTTAGAAGCCTCCAGTTTCTGATTACAGTCCTCTCTCTTTTCCACAAGTAATCACTGTCTTGAGTTTTACAATAGTAATTTTCTTCCTTGCCTTTATAGTGTGACTCCCTGTTTATCTCTGAATAGTTTTTGTATTGCCTGTTTTTTGATGTTTATTAAACTAAGTATCTTTCTAAACTGCTACTTTGTATGTTAACTCCTTTGTTTAGATGGTTCACCAGCTCACATCATCATCTTCTATGTTCTCCTAACTATCATTACAAGTATATTCTGGATTTATTTTGTTACAGTGTAGCTAAGATGTAACTATGCTTCCCAGAATTTGCTTTCCTGCATACTTCTTGTTATCTTGGCTCATACTGGATGTTATGCAAGAGATTTGGAAGGTAGAAGTTGGAGCAGCAGCTGCCATGTCCTTTTTACTCTCAGAAGGTTGAATGCTTGATACAGGGTGACTGTCTCTGGTACAGTTTGTACATACTGTGCTTTATCTGCTGGCTCAACTCACTGTTATTGGGCCACAGCCAGGCCCACAGCTCCTTCAGCTGCTTCTGGATCTTCATTAGCTTCTCTGGCTCCTGGGCCAGATGTACTATAGCTCAATAACGTAGGGCACCAAGTTCTCCATGTCTCTCGTGAAGAAAGGCAGGGAGACTGACTCTAGATACCACTTATCTTTTTTCTTTTTTTTTTTTTTGTATTGGGGATTTGAACCCAAGGGCGTTTAATCCCTGAGTCACATCCCCAGCCCTTTTAAATATTTTATTTAGAGACAGGATCTTGCAGGCATCTTAGAAGGCTGACTTTGAACTCTGGATCCTCCTGGTTCAGCCTCCCAAGCTGCTGGCATTACAGGCATGCGACACCTTGCTTGGCCCCACCTGTTTTTTGAGTGGCTCATCCTTGCAGATTCTAGTTTATCTTTTCTTCTCAAAGTTGCCTTGCTAACTTCAGGCCCCAATATCAGAAACATAAGCAATAGTTTCACTGTTTAGCCAGCTTCTGAGATTGTTTAAAGTCATAACTCTAGAATATATCCCTTTTCACATGTCACTACTGGTAGTTTTACTTCTCTGACTGAAATTTGACTGATGCAGAATGTGGCAAAGAAGTGTTTCCACAGGAACAGAGCACAAGGTTAAGTTCTTTCCAGAGGAACAGAGCACAAGGATAGGTTCTCTGAATCGGCTCTGGGTTATCTGGAATTGGTTCTCTAATCTAATTAAAGGCATTAATGACCATTTGTTCGGTGGAAACAAGAATGCTAGCAGTTCATGGCACTCAGTAGCAAGACACTTCCTTAAATTGTGACTGTGGATTCTTTAATCAAGTGCCTATAAAAAGTCAGGTTTTAAGTGAACAGGTCTTCAGTGCCAATGGAAGATTTAGTGGACATAAGGATATAATGAGGCTGATTACTTTTAAGTCTGCTGGAGAATTTGCAAAAAGCAAATAATAGGCTCAGGGTTTTAATTGCTAGCACCAGTTCTGGTGAGGAGGATGTAAGCTTTAAAACTTTTCCCAAAAGAAACTCTTCCCTCCTGAAGCCATGAAGCTGATACTTTTGAAAACCACACACAGGATCTCATCCTGTGAGTAGCTAGTCAGAACACAATTTAAACTTATCACCTCAATGTAAAATTGGCATTGCTTTGGAAAGAGAACCTTGAAAATGAACTGAGGGGGCTGGGGTTATGGCTCAGTGGCAGAGGGCTTGCCTAGCACATGTGAGGCACTGGGTTCAATCCTCAGCACCACATAAAAACAAATAAGTAAATAAAGCAAAGGTTAAAAAAAAAAAGAAGGAAAAAAATTGGGATGGGGGAAAAATGGAGATTTCAATGAAATGGGTCCTTGAATCCCTATATTTACTGAGATCTCTTTGCTAGTAGAAGCAGTCCTTCTGACCCCGCCTAAGAATGACTACAACTTGGATCAAAAGGTAATCTGCATTCAGTGAAGTTGCAGTACTAGAAGTTCCTTGGAAGAGCTGTAGTTGTGAACTAGAGGAAGCTTTGTTCTCCAAGGGAGTCTGGTAATGTCTGGAGACATTTTTGGTTGTCAAGCTGGGGATGCAAAGTGGGAAGATATTCTGGTATCTAGTGGGTAGAGACCTTGGATGCTGCCAAATACCCTGCAATGCACAGAACAGCCATCCACAACAAAGAACAATACAACCCCAAACATCATTAGTGCTGAGGTTGAGAAGCTGCCACAGAAGTAGTTATCCAGATGAGGCGGGTTAGAATGCCAGAGTCAATCTATCTTGCTCACCTATTCCCTAAGCACACCTGCTCCCTTCACAAGGTTGTGGGAAATGCACTTGTGTAGGTGGCAGTGGCATTCAGTGGCATTCATGGTGACTATTTGTAAACCAGAAATGACAGTGTGAACTCCCAGGCTCTTTGAATTCAATATGCACAGTGGCATCTTGGTGTTATGGGGGTCAGGTGGCACCATTTAACTGACAAAGATAAGGAAAGCCTGATTAATGGAATGGGTAGCAAAACTTAAGCAACCATCAGAATAGTGCAAGCCACAGAGATCTTTGGCATTGGCTAATTGGAATGTGTCCCTAGAAGTGAAAGTATTGGGCAGCATATAAGCAATAAAGGTCTAGGTCTAGTGAATAAAAGTCTGATTTGATTCATTACAAAAGAGAGCCATTGTCCCTTGACCAATTCCTAGGTAAGAATCAATTTACAGACCCAGTGTTCCTTGAATGAGGAAGGATGCCAGGAAAGACCTTCTTTATGTAAGCCTTTGCCTTCTCCCCTCAAAACTGTGTGTGTGTGTATGTTTACTTTTATATATCATACACACAATATATATGTTCATATCTATATCCTCTTTCTAGCCTTCCCCAAAGGAACTTGCATCTATTTAACAGGGTACCTGTAAACTGAAGAAGGGAAAAATAATCATATTTATGGAGGATTTTTGAATACTGCTTCTGAATTGACAACTGATTGCCTCTTTGGTAGTGTGGTGCAGTAGTCAAGGTAGAGATGAAATGGTTAGTGTTGTTTTGCAGTAGGTCCATTTTGCACGCAGCTTCATGTTTCCCTGAATATGCCGTATATTATTCCCAGTTTTGGATTGTTGAAAAGACACTCAGCAACTGTCAAAATTCTCACACTGAAGTAAGGGCATCATTTTGACTGCTTTAATCTACTCAAACAGTAAAAGTTGATGTCATTCTGATTGCCTTAATCTACTCAAATAGTAAACCAAAGCATTACTAGATTTCAACAAGGACTATAAAGATTAGTGCCATCATCAAGTACTTCAGAGATGCCAGGATGGTGCTTCCTAATTCATCCCTGTTCAGTTTGTTTATTTTGGCTGAGGATAGTTGGAACTTAGAGAATGAAATTGGGTTCCTGTAAACTTCAAGGTTGTGGGAAATGCATTCAGTGTTCACTCTAATTGTAGTGAACTAGAGGAGTCAACACAACCTTTGCTATTGAGTGTGCAACTGATTGCTTTTCTCTGTAGACCTTTTAGTAAAGACCATAAGCAATTTGCTTTTCACCAGGCAAGCCCTGCAGTATACTTGCACTGCCCAATCCTAGGGCTGTGTGAAACTTCCTGCCTTGTGCTGAAATCTAGTCTGCAGGGATTGTGATCATCTTTTCATTCCACAGGACGTCACCTTAGTTTATTACATTGATCTGTTACCAAGGGGGAATTAGAATACATGATATCTTCTGGTGTACATCAATCACTCTTATCTCCAGTGTTAAAGAAGATGGAAAATTACACCCACTCTAGGGTGTAATATAGGATGGCTAATGACCCGGACCCTTCAGAAATGAAGGTATGGGTCACATCATCAGTCCAGTAATCATGAATAGTCAAGATGCTTGCTGAAGGCAAAGGGACTGTGAAATAAGTAATGGAAAAACATAATTAAAAAGCCAGTTATGACTACCTGGCCAGTTGTAGAAACAAAGCCTCTGATCATTTTGAGTACTTCTTCCTTATTTTGGTATGCATATGTTTGTATATATATCTACCCATTTTTTTTCTATTCCCCACTTCCATTTGGCTATTTTCACCCTCCCACCCAGTACTGAAGATTGAACCCAGGGATGCTCTACCACTGAGTTATATCTCCAGCCATTTTTATTTTTTGAGACAGGGTCCCTCATTAAGTTGCAGAGGCTGGCCTGGAACTTGAAATCATCTTCCATCAGCCTCCTGAGTAGATGGGATTATAGGCATGTGTCACTACATGTGACTCACCTATTATTTAATATAAGAAGTATTAATAGTAGTTAACCTTATAAGTCAGGATTTAAGCCACAGGATGTCACAGGGCAAGGTGATTTAGCTCAATGAGGAATCAGCATCACCCAAAGATGGACAAAGGGACTTCATATTGTGTTTTGGGAGAGAATTAACATGTTTTGGGTTTCATAAGGGATAGCTGATTTTGCTGTTGTTTTTATTTGGAGTATGATGAAATGAGGATACCTGTTTGACTAGGGCTGGACAGTGGTGGATGCTTCAACTGTGCAACCTCATAACAACATTTTCCATAATTCCCTTACTTTTATTCCTTGGTTAGTTCATGAGAGATATTTTGCATGAGGTTTGGAAGGCAGAACACAGCAGAAGCCCAATTCTTTTCATGCCAGGAACTTCTATACAACCTATGGCCATCATTCCATGATCCCCCTACTCTTAGGTTGACCCTAGTCTGCAAGCATTAATTTGGGATGAGAACATTGTGACTTGTTCCGATTTATGTTGACCCTTCATTTAAAAAAAAAAAAAGAATATTTTAGGTTCCCAAATAGACTTCTTGTTAGGTGTATCTAATTGCACAGCTAACAGAGTTAGTTTTGTTATAATCTGAATTAACTAAGATAGCTTTACAGTGATTCTTTGGATTTGACCAGGTAGGCCTTACCTAATTTGGGGGTTAATAAAAAAGAAAAGATCTGCCTATTGCTCAAACTTGGGAAAAGTTTTCAATTAGCAGTAAATCCTGCCTTGGATAAACTTCTTTGGCTACCATGCTGCCACCATGCAAAGCTAAAAGTAGAACAAGGCTGTTTAGATTTGTGGGCTCTAAAAATATCTTCCCCATTCAATTACTCTAATAACTACATCTGCTATTGATATGTGCTGGGACAGATCACTACTGATCTTAGTGCTCTCTTTTCACTATAGAGCATAACAATCCATCACTCTAGTTCTCTAATGGGGGTTTTATGAGCTGAAAATCATAAGAAATTAAGCCCATAACTGTCGACCAAGTGAAGATGTCTTTCTTAACATTCTCTTCCATTATATTGTCTTCACCCACTATTCATTTTCTACTAAAAATAAATAGAATGAAAATATTCTCAAAGACAGCTGAACATAAGATATAAATTAAGGAAGTTACCTATAGTCACAGCTCCTACAACAAATCCTTGTGCAGCAACTCGCATGTGAATAAGATGAATGGACATTTTCTGATCTCTTCTGTACTTTAACTTGTAAAGACCATAGGATACCACAGCCACAAAGCCTGCTATACCTGTGAATTTTTAAAATATAAGTTAAGTAAACAGAGGCAAGAATTCCCAAGAGCTCAAAGAGTTAAACGAAAGGCTGTATAAAGAAAGATTATTTGGAAGACAAGCAATCCAGATGCAGGTTGAGTATCTCTTATCTGAAATGCTTGGGATAGAAGTGTAGTCGATTTTAGGTTTCTTCAGAGTTTGGAATATCTTCATATACATAATGAGATTCCTTGGGGATGGGACACAAGTCTAAAAACAGAATTATTTTATGTTTTATATTTACTATATTTACATAGATGGAAGGTAATTTTATGCAATGTTTTTAGTGTACCTGGGTTTTGACTGTGACTTGTCACATGAAAACAGGTGTGGAATTTTCTGCTTATGTTGGCATTCAAAAAGTTTCAGATTTTGGAGCATTTTGGATTTTCAGATTATAGATGCTGAGCCTATACTAAAGTATACTTTTAAAAGAACCATGCTAGATTTGATGCACCAGAATTTGAAATGGGTCCTTGACATTCCTGAATTTGAAAAAAAAAAAAAGTTTTGCTTTTCCCAGATCAACTTGAACTATTTAGATTAGTAACTTATCTAGTCAGTTTTAATTTTCCTGATGCCTGAGTTCAAATAGTACATACTACAAGGCCATTATCTGCAGCAAGAAATTTAGCCCATGAGTGAACTGACCCCACATCCATAGCTTTTGAGTGTTTGGTTACACTCCTCTCTTCTTGTCATCAAATAAGGAGTAAATCTAGGAAAGAGATAAAAACATTGTTCTATAAAAAGTGACACAATAAACTTTAATGAGAGCAGAAAAGGTCTAAATACATGCATAAGAAGTACACGAGTCTAGGAAGAAATATTTTATTCTAGAAAAATCCAGACTCTATACAAATACTTCTGTATTCCCAGGTGTGTATTGGGGGGTATGGGCCATACATATACCATTGGAACAACCAAGATCCCGTGTAACTGGCTTTAAAATGGAGAATTGACCAAATAAATAGGAAAGATTTTAGAAAGAGATTTAAAGCACTCTGAGAACTTAAACCATGACAAACCAAAAATAATCAAATAACAGAGAAAGGAATAATTATTTAGTAAATGTCAGTAGTACAATTTATTGATGTAAAGAAGGACTGTCTTGGGGCTGGGATTGTGGCTCAGTGGCAGAGCGCTTGCCTCCCAAGTATGAGGCACTGGGTTTGATCCTCAGCAACACATAAAAATAAATAAGATAAAGGTATTGTGTCCATCCACAACTAAAATAAATAAATAAATAAAAGGACTGCCTTGAATATGTACCTCACGCTAGACCCTCCCCCATACCTCCAAAACTCTGGATGGCAAGAGTTAAGTGCAAAACAAAACAAAAATATAAACAATAATGGTGGGGAGGGGAGCTAGGGTTGTGGCTCAGTGATAGAGTGCTCACCTAGCATGTGTGAGGCCCTGGGTTCGATACTCAGCACCATATAAAAAAAAATAAAATGTATTGTGTTCAACTAAAAATTAATATTAAAAATGTATAAATAACAATAACAACAACAAACCCTGGAAAATAGAATAGTATATTTACAACATCTATAAGAGGATAAGGCAGACAGTAGAAATTGACAATGACAAAATGTTATATGTTGAAAAAAGAATAAAGGAAACTTTTGTGCAATAAAACTGTGGGCTACTTTTTTGGTTCTGTATTCTATCACATTGATCTATATATCTGTCTCTCCATCATTAATCACACTGACTTGATTACTATAGATATACAGTAAGTCTGAACATCCAGTAGAATGAGTTGTTACACTTAATCCTTAAAAATATTGTTTTAGCTCTTCTAGGATTTGTACCTTGTCATATAAATTGTATAATAAGCTTGTCTATGTTTACAAAAAAGTTGCTGGGTTTTAATAGCAATTACCTTAAACATATAGATCAATTTGGGGAACACTGACATGTATATATTGAACCTTCTAATCTATGAACACAGTCATCTATTAAAGTCTTTGATTTATTTCATTAATATTCTGTAATTTTCAGCATACATGTTTTGTTAAGTGTGTAGCTAAGCATTTTATTTTCTTCACAGTGGTATTATGGTATTATGTTTTTACTTTCAGATTTCAGTTGTTGTTAGTATATAGAAATGCAGTTGGTTTTTATGTGGGATGGCATGTTTTCATTAACTCGGTTGGCACATGTGTGCCTCTCTGGGTGGGTGAGTATATATTTATTCTTTCAGGATCCAATTAGTAGGTAGAAATAGGAATCAGAATAAATAACCACATTTGTATGTATATTTTATAGGACGATTAGCAGTAAATGCAATTGAAATTAAAATGACTGGTGTACCACAATGTATCAAAACAATAAAATAACAAATTATGTGATTAGGGAAATAGTTACAATGCTGAAAGTTTTGTGAGTTTGCCCAAATCTTTTTGGAAAGAACCCTAGAAATTCTACTTTGGGGAACATACTTCAAGAATATAAAGCAAAAGGAGATGACACAAAAATGTTCATGGGAAAACTGTCAACCCAAATGGCCCAAGTTGTATACTTATTAAAAATTATAAGAAAGGGAAGTATTAATACCCAAATCTATATATGAAATGGTAAATGAAAGACACCAAATCAAGTAATTATTCAACAGAGATTTTAAATACATATAATGTATGCAGAGACCTCAATAGTCATTGTAAGACAACTTTGAACAATGTAGATACATTATAGATTATTTATTATTGTTTATTTATTTTGAAGTGCTAGAGAGTGAACCCAGGGCCTCATGTGTGCTAAGGAAGCACTGTACCACTGAAGTATACCCTTAACCCAGTAGATTATATTTATAATCACATAAATGGTTCAAGATAATGAATAAAAATGTTTTGTAAATTATCTGCACAAAGTATGGAGATTTGTCAGAAAATTTGGAATGGAACCATCATTTGACCCAGATATCCACCTCCTCAGTTTATACCCAAAGTATTTAAAATCAGCATACTACAGTGATCCAGCCACATCTATGTTTATAGCAGCTCAATTCACAATAGCTAAACTATGGAACCAACCTAGATGGCCTTCAACAGAGGAATGGATATAGAAAATGTGGTATATATACCCAATGGAATATTACTCCGGCTTAAAGAAGAATGAAATGATGGCATTTGCAGGTAAATGTATGGAACTAGACAATATCATGCTAAGTAAAATAAGCCAATCCCAAAAAACCAAAAACCAAATGTTTTCTCTGATAAGCAGATGCTTATCCATAGTGGAGCAGGGGAATAGGGAAGAATGAAGGAACTTTAGTTTATGTAGAGGGAGTCAGGGGAGGGGTGGGTTGTAGAGATGGGAAGGATGGTAGAAAGACAGACATTATTACCCCATATACATGTATGATTACATTAGTGGAGTGACTCTGAACCATGTATAGCCAGAGTAATGAGAAGTTGTGCTCCATTTGTGAACTATATGTCAAAATGCATTCTACTATAATTAATTTAAAAAATTATTTGCAGAAGACACTCCATCCTGTAGCAGGATATCCTGTAAACATCACTAAAATAACAATAGCTAAGCAAAACTATTCAATGATATATATACAAATCTTATCATTATTTATTTTCTAGCAAAAAAAATTGGCTGTCTTCTCTTGATCAAATCAAGGTTCTGTTCTTTCTTAAACTGATAATGTTTGTTTTAGAGATTAAAGTCAGAACCTTTACTGTTTTTTCACATAGTGTCTCTGTGGTTTATATAAAATTGAATTTAGCTGGAACACTTTCATCTTTCTGCTTTAATCACCCTAAATGTCTCTGGAAAATAGTTTAATGTTCTACAGGACAGTGATTAATCTCTGTTAGAGTCATCTGTTTAAGTAGCATCATGTTCTTAAATTGTTTTTCTAGTTACAAATGCTAAGGAAGACAAATAAATCGCTATTAAATTATTTGCCTCAATTTCTTATGAAGTCTTAATCAAATTAAGTGAAACTTCTAAATATAATATTGTAAAATAAAATTTGGTGCTTTTGAAAGGTGAATAATGACATGAAATTGCTAGAGCTGCAGTGACACTTAATGGAAGCATATGACTTACACCTGCTTGTAAGATTTTATGGAATTAATATGTTCACAAACCTTTGTAAGTCAAATCTAAGTAAATTATTTTAATAGTTTCCAAATGGAATGAACACAAGGCTGTAGTGTACAATAATAATGCTCAAAACAATTTAAACAGAGGACAAAGAAAAATGCTCAGATTTATTGATGCTTACATTCTTTGTTTGGGGTGGTAGGTGCTGAGGCTTCATGCTTGCTGGGTAAGTGCTTTACCTCTGAGTTATGTTCTCAATCCAACTAAATATATATTTTTAAAAACTGCCTACATATACTATCTGCTGAAAATGTAAACATATGCTAAAAATGTATGAGGAGAGACAAATAAAGATAAAAATACAGATCTAATTATAATACCATTTCTTTAATTTGGAGTTTACTTAACCATCAGTCTTAACATCTGGAACACATCAGGATGCCAGCAAAACTGGCGGCTGAGTAGCCAAAACAAACTTCACAGAGTTCATGCTTTCAATTGTCAAGGTAGAACTAGGCTTTCATACTGAATTAACTTAGAGGGTTTTTTGTTGTTGTTGTTGTTGTTGTTTTGAGCTTGGGTATCTAACTTCTGATGCCATAGAACATTAGAAGCAGAAGTTTTTAATGGTTCCCAAATAATAATGAAGAAACAAATATCTAAACAGAAGACACAAAAATTTAAAGCATGGAGTTATGTACAGGGTAAAGATATGACTTGCTGGGAACTAATAATTTTAGATAGACCTCTAATGAAATGGATAAAACTGAATGAAATTTGATGCTCCAAATAATTATAGCTAACAATTCTTGAGGACTTACTTCATACTAGAAATTACTCTGAAATATCAACTCATATTCATGCTTAGAGGGCAATTAGCTTCAACCTGAAAAAAATCAGTTTTATGAGACATTTCAATCCTCAAAGGTAAGGCATTATTATGTTACTACAGTTTTCCAGTATTCAGTCAAGGCTTGTACTTACCTACAGGGAAAAAGGGAGAGTCTCTTGATTTCCTGATCAGTCGGGATAATTGGCCTTCCTCCTCCTCTGCTGACCACTGGTTATCTGAAGACATTTTTTCTCTCTCGTTAACAATAGGAGATCAACGTGGTTGCTGTGAATCATTCAAAAGAATCCATTTACCCTCTCCCAATACATTGTTGATAATGGGCTCTTCCATTTTCATTTGCTTGACATGCCTATCTGTTCAACTGAAATAAATAGTTCTTCGTCCTTCACATTTTTCACTACAGAATTCTTTCATTTGTGGGGAAAAAGTATAGGAGAAAAACAAAAGAAACTGGTAATGTGATTCCATGATTACTGAGTAAAAGTGAACACGAGATCATAATTCTGTTATTCAATTTTCTTTCATAGCACAGCATTTGAAATCATTAAGAACCTCAGGCTTTTCTCCCCAAACAATAATAACAGTTTCTTTTATATGGCAGTGCCAACACAGGTAAAAATATCTCCAGAATCACAGATGATGGAAGAACATGACTCCCAATTCTGCAAAATGTATGGGGCATTATAAAATCATTTCAACATTTACCAAGCACCCATCTACTGTATGCCAGGTGGTAGGTCAGATAATGGAAGATAAGCTTCCTTGTCTACACAGGATGAAGACACTTGTAAGAGCAACTACAATCACAATGGGTTGAACATCATCTCAGTCTGTTGCCCATATAACCCACCATTTTCATCCCCAAATTCAAGTACAGTCATCCTATGAATGAGATCTCATGAGAAAATATTACCCAGTAAGTGGCAAAAGCTCAATACCTTCCACCTGCTGTCTTCTGGTGGTCTTTGAACACGAGGAACAGATGATGTAAGCCCCTGAACACATTTCCCTGTGATTTCCAATTAAATGATAATAGGAAAGCCTAGAAACAAACACGCTGAGGGAGTGGCCAGCTGGTATTGGCCAAGGTTTTCACCACTTCTGTTAGAAACTGACAGAAGTACCTGGCCACAAATTTAATGCTTTTGAGGACAACAGTTAAGAAAGGTGAGGTTGGGGGAATATAGCCCTGGGTTTGATCCCAGCATTGTAAAACCAAACCAAAACAAAACAAACATCAACAACAAATCAACACTGAGGCTTTGGAAGAGGATGCATTTACTTAAATCTGCCTTTATAGGGGAGCTCCCAACTTCTGTGACCTTGAATCTTAATATCTGCTGTCTGGGCTCAAAAATAGAAGGGACCGAAGGTGCCAGATCACTATCTTGGTGAGGGCAGGGGCAAAAATAACTACATGAGGTCAAGATTGTCACTGTCCTTCAGGAATCTGCACCCAGTCGGGATCCTGAGCTGCAGCCAGGGGTTCAAGTAAACAAAGGCAGAAGAGTATAATAGTATATTGGAAGAGGGTAAATAATTCACAGCAACTACAACGATCTCCTGTTGTTACCAGGCGGAAAAATGTCTTGAGATAACAAGCGGTAAGCAGAAGACCAGGTCAATAATCCCAATTGATGAGGAAATCCAGAGACTCCCCTTCTGCCCCTGGAGGTAAATAGGCAGCGGGATCTTGGCACCCGCAGGTCCTGCAGATCCTGGAGCCCCACGCACCCACTATGAAAAAGGATGTGACATCACTGCATCCTTGGCCAATCCAAGGGCAGGGCGGGCGGATGGGCGCGAGGTGGCCCGCTCTGGGAGAGCCCGTCTCCCGCGCCTGCGGGAGACCTGGGAGAGGGGGATGCGTCTAGGGGCGTCGGCGGGAATGCTTCCCGCTACTTACAAGAACTGTCAAGCATCCAAATTCTGGTTTATTAACATTTTTCGTTTCTTTCTTCCTTCCACCTGAGTAAGTTGTGGACTGATGTGCCTACCAATATAAGCCAATATGTGTTTTTGTATGCATTTGAGGCACTCTTAGATAATTGTAGTACAGTGATCTAAATTAGGAAATTAACATCAATGTAATACTGTTATTCAATCAAATGATTTTATTCACACTTAGTTGTCCTAATAATATTGTTAACAGCAATGTGTGTGTGTGTGTGTGTGTGTGTGTGTGTGTTTCTTGTCTACAATCCCAATTGGGATCGCATTTTGCATTTAGTAGTAACATCTTTGGTTTGTTTGTTTTTATCAGGGATTGAACCCAGGGGTACTTAACCATTAAGTCACATCCCCAACCCTGTTTCTATTTTGTTAAGAGATAGTTTCTCGCCGAGTTGCTTAGGGCCTTGCTAGGTTACTGAAGCCGACTTTGAACTCGGATTCTTCCTGCCTCAGCCTCCCCAGCCACTGGGATTACAGGCATGCGCCTGAGATTACTATGCCATGACCGGCATAGTAACATCCTTTTAGTCTCTTAATCTGAAATATTGCCTTAATGGTCTTTGTCTTTTATGATCTTGATATTTTGCCAGCATAGGCTAATTATTTTGTAGAATAGGTCAATTTAAAGTTTTTCTTGGTGTTTTCTTATTCGATTATGTATTTTGATAGAATACCACAATAGTGATATTTTGTCCTTGGTATATAATATTAGGAGACACAAAAATTCAACTACTTGTTGGTAGTCTTTGATTCAGGGTTGTGGTTTCAAAGTTAAAGAACTGGCAGCCTCTTCAAAGGAGGAGGAAAAGCCCTGATTTGTAGCATTTGCCAGTTCCTGCCCTGGCCCATTTCAAGTTTGTATCTGTCATCACTGAAGATGAAGTTGAGAAAGGTTCCTTTCCTGACATGGTTTGAGTCAGCTCTGGCACACTACTGCTTTAATCATGTGGATTAAGGTGGTGGCTCCCAACTTCTCAGTAGCAAAGTTAGTAATTTTTTCCCTTTGTAATTAACAAATATTATGAATAGATAATTTAATGTTATACAAATATGCTGTTACTTATGACTGTAACCCATTAATTTTATATCCATTCATAATCATTGCCTGAATCGGTTAATTTTGTCAGCCAAATGATGATTTTTCTATATTCATCATTCTTATATCAGTTTAGATTCTTGGATTCCTATTTTATTAATGGTTTATAATCCATTATTTCAATTACTTAGTTTGGTGGTCTAATTTTTCCAGATTTGGTCTGTGGGAGTCCTTTGAAGCTGGCTCCTGGGGACATGACATGTCCCCTTTCAGTTCCAAACTGAACTCCTACTTTTTCCTGCTCCTTCCTTGAAGCCAGCCATTTTTCAAGGAGTACTGATTCATTTTAATTGAGAATGGTATTTATAAACCAAGTCCTGGGCACTAAAGTATTCACTGTTACTAGAGTACTATTGCTTTTAAGCCTACCAGCAGACAGGATTTATATTCATGTTTACATCTGTTTCTCTACATACCTGTATTAAAACCATGATTTCAGAGTGATATTTCTGATTTCAATCCAGTTCCATAGCATCTATTCTAGGCTTCCTCCTTTTCATAGCATGATTCCCTTTTCTGAATGCAAGTAACCTGGTTCCTATTCTCCATATGTTTGTTTATTTGCTTAATCCAGCGTACACAAAAAGTAGTTTCAGAATTTCTGACCCACAGGAATGTGAAGAATCCTATCAAAAGGAGTTATATACTATTTAGATATCTTTTTGTCAGAGAGTATAAAATCAAAATTCTGTGTTCAAACATTACTTGGAAAGAAAACAGATCTACACAAGTGTTTATAGTAGCATTATTCACCATAGCCAATAAATTAAAACAATCCAAATATCCATCCATTGGTGAATGGATTACCAAAATGTGGCATTGAAAACATTATGTTAAGTGAAAGAAGCCCATCACAAAGTCCTTATGTTGTATGATTCCATTTATATGAAATGTCCTGAACATGAGATGTCTAGAGACATAAAGCTTAATCTTTGCCTAGGGCTGGGAGATAGGGAGATAGGGAACGACTGCTAATGAGTACTGGTCATTTTAAGGAATAATGAAAAATGTTTTAAAATACATTGTGCCGGGCGCAGTGGCATACACTGTAATCCCAGCAGCTCGGGAGGCTCAGGCAGGATGATTGAGAGTTCAATGCCAGCCTCAGCAAAAGTGAAGTGCTAAGCAACTCGGTGAGACCCTGTCTCTAAATAAAAATACAATACAGGGCTGGGCATGTGGCTTAGTGGTCCAGTGTCCTTAAGTTCAATCCCTGGCATCAAAAAAAAAAATGGTGATGATGGTTTTTCAACTCTGTGAGTATACTAAAACTATTAGTTTCCAGTTTATTTTAACATAGCCTTTAAAAAAAAAACCTAATAGAGCCTGTAAATCACTTCATAGAGATCTTTCTCATCCTGTTTGTAAGTGTATAGGCCTCCAATAAATGGTGTATCATCTTTTATTTAAGCACTATTATGTATCTGAACATCTAAGTTAAAAACATAGTCAACAATGCTGAAACGAATACTCTTGTGTGTATATATTGCATATATATTTTCATCTAGTTTGAGGCACATCTTCAGTAAATGTACATATAGTTTCATTAGATACTGCCAGATTTTCCCACAAGGGTTGTCAGGGTTGGCATTCCTGCTAACAATTGTAGTACCTTGCCATGAAGAAGCTTAGAGTGAAGTAGGGGAGAGAAATGAGTCACCCTACAACTAGATCATGTTGGAAAGGTGAGGGGATAGAGATAGAAGCCTGTAAGAGCATAAATAAAGCCCCCAAGAATCACACTGAGAATTCAGAAAGGTTTTTTGGAAATTAACATGGACTGTTTTAGAAAATGAGTAAATTGTAGATGAAGAGAGAATACAGGTATTCCAGACATAGGGCATAGATGTTGTAGAATGGCACAGAGGCAAACATACAAGTGGTACAATGTATGGAATCAGAGATGGGTGTCACTATGGAATGGCTTTTAGAGGATAGAGCTTTGGAGCCAGTGGGGCCAGATCACTAGAGCCTTGCATCTTATTATTTTTAAAATTTTAATTTTGGTGCTGGGGATTGAACCCAGGGCCTTGAATGTGCTAAGTGCATAGTCTATCACTGAGCTACACCCCCTAGTTTACATTTTATTTATTTATTTATTTTTGTGGTGTCAGGGATCGAATATAGGGTCTTATGAATGCTAAGCAGGACCGCTACCATGAGGTATACACCCAGTGCTTAGCTTTGTATTTTAAACTTAAGAATTTGAACTTTTAATCTTTAACTTTTAACTTTTAATCTGAAAGCTATCAGAAGCCTTAAAAGGATTTTAGGCAGATTTTTTAAAAATGTAGGTTCCGTTAGCAGCATAGAACCTAGATTTGAAGGGTTCAGGCTGGAGGCCGATGAATCCAGGTAAGGAGCAGTGGGTCCAGAAGCAGTAGAGGAAGAGAGAGGAATGGACTGTTATCTGGCTGATTGTAGGAGGTGAGAGTAAGAGAAATAGGATGGTCTGGTTTCCAACTTAATGGTGATAAAAACGGCTTTCGCATTTGCTAAGCTAAGAAAAAATACAGAATAAAAAGTGGATTGATGCTGGGGGTGTAACTCAGTGGTAGAGTACTTGTCTGGGTTCAATCCTCAGTGTTGGAAAAAGAAAGGATGGAAGGAAGGAAGCAGAAGATTGCCGTAAAGAGTCCCCAAGGTCAGAAATTGGCAGATTTGTATAGTTATAGGACAAGAGGACACGAATAAGAGAGTAATGAGTAGTTGGTTTACTCTGTTCTTCAGCCTAGGGAGAGAAGGGGATCAGTGCAAGTTGATACCCCAAGACAGACTAAGGCATGTAGCACTGAACATCTCTAAATTGAGGAACAGGTTCAGTAGGAGAGGTAAAAGAGTAAGAGGCTGCCTTTAGGTGTGGGGACTTTGAGTTTCAAATTCACATGTGGCACTTGGAGTTCACAACAAGACACTTAGATAAGTGTTTGGCATATCTGTTTTCCTCCTGAAATGGTATTTGTCTGTAGAAACGTTTTTTAGAAAGAGCACCTCTCTCTTTCATCAGATTCTCAAGGTTGTCTCTGACCCCCACTCCCCATGAAAGTTAAGAATCAATGTTAGTTGACACAGTTTTTACCTAATTCTCATTTTCCAGCATACCTGTCATCCAAGTGCTATGTGAATTTGTGGCAAATGTTTCTCTGTAAAATTTCACTTGAGTACTTAGAAGCCTCTAAGTACTGCTCAGAATGTGAAGGGAAGGAAATGAAGGCACCATAGCAAAAGTGTATGTTAATGGTTTAACAGATTATTAGTAATTCACTTTATTCAGTGTTTCCTCTCATTTTAAAAAAATTGGGCAGTGGATTTGTACTATTGGCAGGAAACTTGACACAGAGCATCATTTATATTTATAAACATATAAATATATGTTTTTAATACTGCAACCTTTGCTTTCTAATAAGAACTTTTAGATTTCCTTATTTCTTTTTTATTGATGCATTATAATTATACATAGTAGTGTGATTCCTTATGCCATATTCATGCATGTATACCACATAATTTAATAAATCCCATTCCCCAGTACTTTCCCTTTCCCTCTTCTTCCTTCCCTGATCCACTTGTGCTATTCTGCTGATCTCTCTATTATTGTTATTGTTATTTTAATTAGTGTTTTTCATGTATATGTTTTCATATATATTATCATAGATGTGTGCGTGTATGATTCCTTGTGATATACTTGTAATATGG